GTCGAATATTTATATCAACAAAGTCACGTGTGACCTCGTATGACCCCGGAAGGTATAAGTTCCGGTGTTGTCAACGAGTTCAGTTCTTTTTCATCTTCTCGCTGTGCAGGTTACTACTTTATGAGTAGAAGCCAAGCTAGCTTATTGAAAATTCTAGCTCATAGCCGGTAGCCTTGCGATCGTCTCGATCGGAGATGCGGGCTAGAAACGCTCGCCCTCCAAAGGCTGCGACGAGTTGTCCGCCCTCCCAAGGGAGGGGACCGCGGTGTTCACCGCTCGGACCCCAGGAGCTCCGGACCGGTAAAGAGCGGACGCTCCTGCACACAGCCGGTGAGATCGCTACCATTTATTGCTGATTGTGCTATATCTATATACTCTCAAACTAAGGAGATAATTGTGTACAAATTAACCGAGGGCTCTCGCTAATTTGTTACTGTTACCTGTACTATCATCCAGTTAGCTGAGTGCTACCGCTGAAGGCTAACTTTCTACTGCGCTAGTGAAGAGAGCGTCTCCGCCCTCCTTCTCACTACATACTTTTGGTTCCTTGCCTGTTCTATCGTCCAGTTAGCTGAGTGTTTTCGTTCAAGCTAACTGTTACGGCGCTAGTGAAGAGAGTGTCTTCGCTCCCCTCTCACAGCTCACAATTAGTTATTTTATTTAATCGTTTATTTGACAGGGACAATGCACTGTAATGAACACTTAAAACATTTAAATGTGTCAAGCGTAACAGTGCCAGATTTAGCTTTGAGCTATTTTCCATTCCCTCACATAAAACATTTAAGGAAATTACTTTTTACAAACAGGGTAAAAAAAAGAAAAAAAAAAAAAATACATGATATGCAAAGAGTGGCAACGACACATAAAGTGTTCTATCCTCCAGTTAACTGAGTGCTCTCGCTCAAAGTTAACTTGCTACAGCGCTAGTGAAGAGAGTGTCTTCACTCCCCTCTCACAGCTCACAATTAGTTCCTGTTCCATCCTCCAGTTAACTGAGTGCTCTCGCTCAAAGCTAACTTGCTACAGCGCTAGTGAAGAGAGTGTTTCCGCTCCCCTCTCCCTGCACACAGTTGGTTTAATGCCCGTTCCATCCTTCAGTTAGCAGAGTGCTCTCGCTTAGGCTAACTCGCTACGGCGCTAGTGGAGAGAGTATTCAGGATGCTCTTAGCGCTTCCTTAAACCAAGGGTACAAGCTTCAGTTCCGACGCTGGCCCCCAGTCTTCAGCCGGGTCAAAATGACCACCATAAGCGACCCGGCAAAATAAATCGCCCTAAACCAGGAGCTGTCAGTCCTCCTTGCCAAGGGGGCAATCCTGTGAGCCTGTGGACCCCATCTCACAGCCCGGGCTTCTACTCAACCTACTTCCTGGCAAGGAAGAAAGGCGGTGGACTTCGCCCAATCCTCGATCTGAGGGGACTCAACAAGTTCCTAAGGATTTTTACCTTCCCATGTGCTGAGCACAGCGGACGTTCTTCGTACCGTGGCCAGGGGGGAATGGTTCACGTCCGTCGACTTGAAGGACGCTTATTTTCATGTGCCTATTGTGCCTCATCACAGGCAGTTTCTTCGCTTTGCCTTCAGAGGTCGTCATTTCCAGTTCAGGGTGCTCCCATTCGGACTCTCCCTCTCTTGGACGACTGGTTAATCTGTGCACCATCCCGGTTACAGACGATCCAGGACACGGCTCTCCTTCTCTCTCATGTCGCCCGGCTAGGCCTCAGGGTGAACATGGAGAGGAGTTGTCTGAACCCCTCTCAGAGCCTAACCTTCATTGGGGTGGCTCTGGACACAGTCACTCAACCAGCGAAAGCAGTGTTCTTGCCCCCACTCCTGGTAGACGTGATGCTTTATTCTAGCAGCAGCCGACTGGATAAGCCGTCCTGCTAAAACTTCTTGTTTTTTCCAACTAGGTGAAGGCAGTGCTCTCGCTCCCGCTCCCTCTGCTGGTAACATGGGTATAGTTACATCCCTTTTGTGTTCGGCGAGTAGGAGCGTTGCTCTACTCTTTCCGTTCAGCAGGTAGCTGGTGAAGGCTGTGTTGTCGCACCCCGCTCCCGCCTACGCTGCATCTGGCATTCGTTATTAACTCAACCAGTGAGGGCGGTGTTCTCGCCCCCGCTCCTGATAGACGCGCTGCTTCATTCTAGCAGCAGCTGCCTGGCTAAACTGCCCTGTTAAATGTCCTTATCTAATCCACCTAGGTGAAGGCAGTGCTCTCGCTCCCGCTCTCTCTGCTGGTAACGTGGGTGTAGGACATTTACATCCCTCTCTGTGTTCGGCGAGTAGGAGCATTGCTCTACTCTTTACGTTCATCAGGTAGCTAGTGGAGGCAGTGTTCTCGCCCCCGCTCCTGGTAGGCGTGTTGCTTGATTCTAGCAGGAGCCGCCTGGCTGTCCTGTTAAACTTCCTTGTTTAACCCAGCTAGGCGCGGGCCTGTCCATCTGCTGCACAGACTCTGCTGTGGGACGCCTTGGCGTCTCCCCAACAGGAAGGACCTCTTGTCTCAGTTGGAAGGTCGGATGTGGCACCCCGACCCCTGCCACCTCCAGCTGTGGGTCTGGCCACTGGAGGGCCCGACCCACTGCTGAGCGACTGCATAGAGTCTGTCAGGAAGACTATTCTCAAATGCTAGGGCACCATCTACTCGTAGGCAGTAAGAAAACAGGTGGAAACTGTTTTTTTGACTGGTGCCAAGGGAGAAATGAGGACCCAGCATATTGCTCGGTACCTACGACCCTTGAGTTCCTTCAGTCCCTCCTGGACGACGGCCGGTGTCCCGCTACCGTCAGGGTGTATGTGGCTGCTATATCAGCTCAACACGCAAGGGCTGACAACAGCACAGTGGGGAGCCATAGGCTGGTATCCCTCTTTTTAAGGGGAGCTCTGAGGCTTCGCCCCCCGAATATCCCAAGGGCCCCTACATGGGACCTGCCCTTGGTGCTGGATGCCCTATGCTTGCCTCCTGTTGAACCTTTGTTACAGGCAGAACTGAGGTGGCTCTCAGCTAAGACTGCTTTCCTTCTTGCCATCACCTCAGCAAAGCGTGTAAGCGAGCTTCAGGCCTTGTCCGTGAACAGCTCGTGTCTGAGGTGGAACTCAGATGGCTCAGGTGTCACCTTTGGCCGAACACAGCGTTCCTCCCTGAGGTGCTGGCACGCTCTCATTTTAATCGGCCTATCCAGCTGGCACGGTTTGACCCCCCATCAGGAGAGGGGGAAGAGAGGTCAAGACTCCTATGCCCGGTGCGGGCCCTTAGAGCTTATGTCCAGAATACCGCAGGCATGCGTCAGTCTGAACAGCTCTTTCTGTGTTACGGTGGTCCTAGAAGGGGCTGTGCGCTCTCAGAACAGCGCTTGTCCCACTGGATCATGGACGTCATTGCCCAGGCATACAAGGCGAATGACCGTCCCTTGCCACCCAGAGTAAAGTGCCACTCTACCAGGAGTGTCTCCACGTCATGGGCGACCTTGAGAGGTGTGCCCCTGGAGGACATATGGGCTGCGGCCACATGGGCATCTCTGAGCACATTCGCCAGATACTACAGGGTGAATGTTGCCGCCCCTCACCCGCTGGGTGTGGTCCTCCTGCAGAGTCCGCCTAGGCCATCCCTATAGGGGGAGTATTCAGACTTCCTCGTGACTCTGTTGGTATAGGTCATCCAGTGCTAAAGCACCGCCTCTGGTGGTCAGTAAGTATGAAATAGAACGATAGTTACGTATGTAACTACGGTTCTATGAATACTGGATGACCGCCAGAGTTCTTGGTCACTCGGAATCTCGTGTTTCCGCGAGAAGATTCCATAGAACTGAACTTGTTGATAACACCAGAGCTTATACCTTCCGGGGTCATACGAGGTCACACGTGACTTTGTTGATATAAATATTCGACCTATGCATGCGCGAGACAGAAGATATCCAGTGCTAAAGCACCGCCTCTGGCGGTCATCCAGTATTCATAGAACCGTAGTTACATACGTAACTATCGTTTTTCATTCTCACCCTGTTGCTGTCTGATCTGATCTGATCTCACCTTGGAGAGCTGGTAGAGGCTGAGGACTTGTCTGCAGAAGTTGTTTCCGTGCCGGCACTGATCCACCAGTTTCTGCAGCTGCACGGCCACCTGGTCTTCAGGGAGGGGGAGAACCACGAAGGACGAGAGGCTGCTGAACGAGGGCACTGCGGGAGGAAATGTGGATTTAAAAGTATCCTATTATATATTATAGGTCTCAGATATATACAAATGTATAAAAAACATGTCTATGAAGTGTTTTGCTCAAACTACCAAACATATTTCAGCCCTGTTACTAAAGTGCTGATTCTGGGTCTGTAGCTTTAAAATAATTCTCCCAGCAGAAACTCAGCTAAATGCTGCCCTGATGAAACTCCATATCATGTTCCAAACCACATCAAGGATTCTCTCTGAAACAGTATGGAGCTCAAACTCTTTCTCTCTCTCAGGTTTACCACAAGGTGACTTCCTTTTGATTTCCTGCTTCTTCACACATACTCTCTCCAGTACAGGTTAGCTCTGAGTGTTAGCATGCTAATGTAAACATCGACCTTCCAGAACACGTCTCATTGTTTGACTCATTGACAGCAACGTTTCTGATTGGCCCATGGGTGTAAAGCCCGCCCACATTTTAGTAATGTCATCATGACGCAGCAAAAAAAAGTGCATTTTGCATGATAGGAGACCTTTAAAGTTGAAAAAGCCATAATATTTATATATAATCAAAGGGTCGAGCTTACAGCTGGTGATCTTCTTCTGCAGATCTTCCTCCTCCTCCTCTTCCTCCTCTGTTTGTGGCCTCAGGTCTCCAGAGGCGATCCCCCTGCAGCGCAGCACCAGCTTCATGTCTCCGTGCTGCAGAGAGAAGTACCTGCACACCCTGCTGGCCTCATGGATGCTCCCTTCATCCAACAGCTGATCCACCAGCGTTCCCAGGATGCACCTCTCCTCTGGACTCAGCGTGTCCTCCTCACGCAGCTCCTCCGTGCTCAGACTCTCCTCCGCACTGAGGCCCTCCACCTTGCTTAGACCCTCCTCCACACTGAGGCCCTCCTCCATGCTCAGACCCTCCTCCGCGCTGAGGCCCTCCTTCATGCTGAGGCCCTCCTTCATGCTGAGGCCCTCCTTCATGCTGAGGCCCTCCTCCTTGCTGAGGCCCTCCTTCATGCTGAGGCCCTCCACCTTGCTGAGACCCATCTCCGTGCTGAGACCCTCCTCCGCCCTGAGGCCCTCCTCCGCCATGAGGCCCTCCTCCTCCTTCATGCATGGGATGTTGGAGAAGCAGAACTCCTTCACCATCAGCTCGTATGATGAGGTCGTCTCCTGGGTGATTGACAGGTTGAAGACGCTCTGTTTCTCCGTGGCGCCGGCTAAGACCCGCCCCCTCACCCTCTCCGCCCACAGCTGCTTCTCCAGGCTCTCCAGGCGGCCCCTTGGAGCCGGGACGAGTCTGGACAGCCAATGGGAGGAGAGGAGGAGCAGCAGGCAGCACTCCTGCACCTCCAGAAGCTCCGCCCCCCCGGATTCTTTCTTCGTCTGCGACAGGAAGAAGAGGGACGCCGGCTCCGGGTCGATGCCGTCGGCCTGCAGCTGATCGTGACATTTCCTCCAGAGAGAAACACGCGTCTCCAGTCTGCTCCACTGCCGCTTGGACTTCTGGGAGTTTACGTCCTGCAGAAGCTAGAGGGAGAGAGAAAGCATGTTAAATACATTTAAAACTCGCACATGAGATCTAGTTTTTACGTTGCACTTGTTGATGTTTGCACTAAAATACACTTAAAGGTCTCCTATCATGCAAAAGTCACTTTTTAATGTCTTCTCTACATCACCATGAGTCCCCGGTGTGTCCCCGGTGTGTCCCCGGTGTGTCAGGAGACTCACAAAGTGTTAGAAAATAAACCCCTCTCTCTTTTCCTCCGTACCCACATCTCTAAAAACGGGGGAACAACGGAGCTGATCCAGATTTGCTGCGTCATGACGACATTACTAAAATGTGGGCGGGCTTTACACCCACGGGCCAATCAGAAACGTTGCTGTCAGAAAACAATGAGACGTGTTCTGGAAGTAATATGGTCTGCATACATGCCAACCTTTCCAAATCCAAAAGAGGTAGGTTTGCGCGTGGCGAATGTGCACGCCAAACTAGGTAATCAGAAGAAATGGAACCCCAGTAATTACATGTATAAACCATGTATTTAACATATTGCATCATTTTATGCATTTTTCAGAAGAAGTGGTAGTTTGGTAAACAAACGACATGTTTGGTCTGTAAAATGTCCAAAAGTAAAAGAATGGGAGATCAATATCCCAAAGTCTCCACATGTTATTATATTTTGTGTGTTTCTGGTCCTCTTTCAGTTGAGACAGTGGAGATGAAGGATGTGTCAGGATGTAGAACTCTTGTGTGAACATTGGATAAAGCCAGGTTCATATTCTTGTTTCATGTTGTTGACATATTAGAGTCAAAGGTTTGCACAGAGCGATATATCTTTGTGTTGCGCCATAAATCAGAAAATACTGCATTAAAACAGTCATTTCCTGCATGTTTTTGCAGTGTGATATAAATAATGTACAAGCTTTCAGATTGCTGTAGTTCACTAAGCAGAGACATTAACGACATGTTTGGTGTTGAAAATGTCCGAAAAAGTGAAAGAATTGGAGATAAATATCCCAAAGTCTCAAAATGGTATTATATATTTTGTGTGTTTGTGGTCCTCTTTCAGTTGAGACACTGCAGGATGCTTCCGGAAAAGACCAAACACTGGATGTCTTTCAGTCGCCAACATGTGTTTTCGAGACACTGATATTAACGGGGACACCCTGCAGGACTCAAATGCCTCGTCTCTGTTCCCCTAAACTCATTTGGGAGTGATGACTGATTATTATCAGTCCCGGGGGTCTGCGGCAGGCTGAAGTGGAGGCTGGCTTGACCACAGTCCTTCCTCTGCACGTTGTTTCTCTTCCAGAAACACAGAGGACTGTTAGTATGATGGGATCACAGCAGTGTTGTAGTCAAGTCACCAATTCACGAGTCCAAGTCACTCTCGAGTCACCACTCTTCGAGTCCGAGTCCAAGTCCGAGTCACCCAAGGAGTGTCCGAGTCGAGTCCGAGTCCGAGTCATCATTACCTGTGTTCGAGTCCGAGTCCAAGTCTGAGTCACCCAAGGAGTGTCCGAGTCGAGTCCGAGTCATCATTACCTGTGTTCGAGTCCGAGTCCAAGTCCGAGTCACCTAAGAAGAGTCCAAGTCCGAGTCACAAGTCTTCATGTATTAATGATAATCCTGTCATGTTATACTAATCTGTCTATTGAACTGCTGTGAAGCCAGTTTGGCTACAATTCTTGTAATAGTACCAGAGATGGAGTACTCGAGTGCCGATTTTCAGGACTCGTGACTCGACTCTGACTCGCGCACTGATTGACGCGACTCGGACTTGGACTCGTCAATTCTCGCGCACGATGACTTGTACGCTGACTTGGACTCGGACTCGTGAATTTTTCCCCCCATGATGACTCGGACTCGACTTGTACATTGACGCTCCGACTTGGACTTGGACTCGGACTCCAGCAAGTTTTCTATGGAGTCTGATGTCCTCTATCCTGGCGTGTGCACCGACTGCGAGGCGAGTTCACGTACTGGGCCCCGCTACTCCAGTCTAAAGATGTCTAGAGACACACCCCGCATCGTTGCTGTATGCTTTCACACATTCTGCTTCCACATTGGAAAAGAGCAGCGCAAAATGCTCTATGTGGAAACAATATTGAAGAGAAGGCTCCGTAACACATTACTCTAAACATCGAGTTCAGACATATAGGCTGTCTTGAACACTATCATCAGAGTAACGTCATCTAATCAATACATAAAGATTCAGCCGATAACACGAAAGCACATGGCTACTAAACATGCAGAATGACGTCATTCTGCATGCTAAGTAGCCATGTGCTTTCGTGTTATCGGCCGAGTCGCGTCAATCAGTGCGCGAGTCCGAGTCGAGTCCAAGTCGAGTCTCGAGTCCCGAAAATCGGCACTCGAGTCCGACTCGAGTCCGAGTCCAGGACTTGAATACTCCATCTCTGGTGTGTGTGTGTGTGTACACACACCTGTGTAAGCAGCAGTGTGTGTGTCGGCAGCCCCCCCAGCATCGCCCCCTGTCGGGCCTCTCTGAATCGCCCCCCCTCCTGCAGAGCGTCCACCACCGCCTGCAGCTCCTCCTGCTGGACGGAGGGCGAGGTGCACTGCAGCAGGCGGGGGGGCAGGCTGACCTCTGACCCCTGCAGCAGCTCACTCAGCTCACTCAGCTTCCTGAAGTCCGGACCTGCACACACACGCACACGCACACACGCACACACACACACAGAAAATACACAATTAAAACGTATTATTCTTATTATAACATTATTATATTTTTTTATTTAGTTTTTTAAGAAGAAAATGTAATTATCCACACACACACACACACACACACACACACACACACACACACACACACACGTGTATCACTGTTTTAGTGATATTAGATGTTCTGACCGTTGGACTTCAGCAGCTTGTGGACGTCTCTGAGCAGCAGCAGCAGGCGGTGCAGGTCGTACTGCGAGGAGCAGCGCTGCAGCGTGGAGAGCAGCAGCTCCGAGGCCTGGCTCTCCACCCACTGCAGGGGGAGGAGAGCCTCAGGGCCTGGGGGCAAACTCCTCATCTGGAGGGGGGAGAGAGACAGAGGGGGAGAGAGGGGAAGAGAGAGAGGGGAGAGAGACAGAGAGGGGAAGAGAGAGAGGGGAGAGAGACAGAGGGGGGAGAGAGAGAGAGGAGGGAGAGAGAGAGAGACAGAGAGAGAGAGAGAGGGGAAGAGAGAGAGGGAGGGAGAGAGAGAGAGACAGAGAGAGAGGGAGAGAGAGGGAGAGAGAGAGAGAGAGGGGAAGAGAGAGAGGGAGGGAGAGAGAGAGAGACAGAGAGAGAGGGAGAGAGAGGGAGAGAGAGAGAGGTTTTACTATCGTCTTCAGTATTTCTTTCACATTAAAAGACATATTTTGTATAGATTTTTTATGTTTTTTTAGATGTATAATAATTTTAAAGGTCACCTATCATGCTATTTTTAGGCAATAGCATAGGTCTCAGATATATACAAATATATAAAAAACATGTCTATGAAGTGTTTTGCTCAACATACCAAACAGATCATTCTAGCCATACCTCATATCCCTCTATTTCACTTCCTGTTTCTAAAGTGCTGATTTGGGGTACAAAGCTTTAACAAAGGAGGGGTCTGAGCTCATGCGGGACCCGGCAGCTACTGTCTAAACTAAATGCTGCCGTGATGAAACGCCATATCATGGATTATCAAGGATTCTCTCTGAAACAGTATGGAGCTCAAAGGCTTTCTCTCTTGCCGGTTATACCACAAGGTGAGTTCCTTTTTATTTCCTGCTTATTCACACACATGCTCTCCAGTACAGGTTAGCTCTGAGTGTTAGCAATGCTAATGTAAACACCGACCATATTACGTCCAAAACAGTCGGGCATTGTTTCTGATAGCAACGTTTCTGATAGTGCCGTGGGTCCACATTTCAGATATTACGTCATATCGGACGCAAATCTGGATCAGCTCCGTTGTTCCCCCGTTTTTAGAGATTTGGGTACGGAGGAAAAGAGAGAGGGTTTTATTTCTGACGCTGCGTGAGTTCCCTGACACACCGGGGACACATGGTGATGTAGAGAAGACATCAAAAAGTGACTTTTGCATGATAGGTCCGTTTGCTCTTTCTAACCCAAAGCTCCTACAGTTTAACTCAGCACTGAGAGTGACATTAAAGACCAACTTTACAATTAACAAAAAAGGGAATGACTAATTACTGAGGGATAGAGACAATTCTGCCCATACGTTTATTGTAAAAAAAAGGTCCAATGAATAAGTGAGAAAATCCTGGGTGCAAAAAATAGTGTCTATTGATAAAATGATTTTAAGACTTTTGTAAGATGGATTCGGGATATTTAACATTTCCCCAGGTTTCAGAAGTCTTTAATATCTTTAGAATAATAATATATATACTTTGTTGTGAACTCACAGAGATGAGGGTCCTCTGGAAGTCCAGCAGCTTGGCTTTGGCCTCAGAGAAGTTCCTGTAGTCACAACACAGCTCAAACATCTGCAGCACCAGAACCAGAGGACAGTCCTGAGGGACACAACACGGTTACAACAGAAATACAAATATACAGACGCTCTATTTAAACCTATTTAAAACATTCAAGTGTCAAGGCTTTATTATCATTTGCACTTTAGCTACAGTCCCAGGCTCCTCCAACAGTGCAACATATATACAGAACAAATAAAACAGATAAAATAGTGCAAGAGAATGTTTTGAGAAGTAAATACAAATAAAATAGAAATAGTCACATCTAATACAAAAAAAACACATGTTTCTAGTGTTGTTTTTACCCTCTGGAAGAGGCTGAATCCTCGCAGCAGAGGTCTGACGTGGCCCCGCCCCAAAAGCGTCTTCCAGATGATTGACAGGTCGTGCAGAGTCCACTGGTGGTGGGGGGGGGGCGTCGGCCAGGTGGGAGGTGGCCTCCCCGAACGTGACATCATCAACAGAGGTCAACACCCACACACAGAGGCAGGGAACAAGCTCCGCCCCCTGCAGGTCCAAGAGAGAAAATAATTATACAGAAAGCACCAGGATGACGTGTTTCTGTGTTGGTCCCTGAAGGCAGCATCTCCCTGGTCCAATGGGATTCCCCCATGTGATTTTTGATTATAGCAGAAAATAATCTCTGTCAAACAAACGTTTAGTTCAGCAGGAAAATCTCCACATATTAACACCACTTTATGATTTCTGAAGCAATAAGCTAATGTTGGGCTATAAAGGAACTACAACACGGTCACATGACTTCACCACCGCTAAGCTAAAGGAGGCTAATGTTGGGCTATAAAGGAACTACAGCACGGTCACATGACTTCATGTCACCACCGCTAAGCTAAAGGTGGCTAATGTTGGGCTATAAAGGAACTACAGCACGGTCACATGACTTCACCACCGCTAAGCTAAAGGTGGCTAATGTTGGGCTATAAAGGAACTACAGCACGGTCACATGACTTCACGTCACCACCGCTAAGCTAAAGGTGGCTAATGTTGGGCTATAAAGGAACTACAGCACGGTCACATGACTTCACGTCACCACCGCTAAGCTAAAGGAGGCTAATGTTGGGCTATAAAGGAACTACAGCACGGTCACATGACTTCACGTCACCACCGCTAAGCTAAAGGTGGCTAATGTTGGGCTATAAAGGAACTACAGCACGGTCACATGACTTCACGTCACCACCGCTAAGCTAAAGGTGGCTAATGTTGGGCTATAAAGGAACTACAGCACGGTCACATGACTTCACGTCACCACCGCTAAGCTAAAGGAGGCTAATGTTGGGCTATAAAGGAACTACAGCACGGTCACATGACTTCACGTCACCACCGCTAAGCTAAAGGTGGCTAATGTTGGGCTATAAAGGAACTACAGCACGGTCACATGACTTCATGTCACCTCCGCTAAGCTAAAGGTGGCTAATGTTGGGCTATAAATAGTATTAAATGTATTACCTGTTGGCAGGCGGCCATCACAGCCAGCAGGGGGCAGCGTTGCTCCAGCGCCTCCTTCAGCAGGAAGCTGTCGGGCACTGCCTCCTCCTGGCTCTTCAGGAGCACCAGGAGCAGATCCTCCTCTCTGTGGGGGGCCTCCTCTCTGTGGGGGGTCTGCTCCTGGGGGCCACTGAGCCCCCCTCCCTCCCTCTGGCTGAACACCTGCAGCTCCTGGAAGGCCAGGCTCAGGTGCGCCTGGAGGGCGGGGCCAAACTGAGCCGCCAGAGACCTCACCTGGAGAGAAGGTCCAAATATGGTCAGAGGGCCGGTTTCTCAAACTTACGTACCCCACATTTAAGAACATTTCAAAGCCCATACTTCTTTACTTTTACTTGAGTAAAGAAGTTTAGTCGGTACTTCTACTTCAACCAGAGTATTTGTAAACACGAGTATCTGTACTTCTACTTGAGTAAAGGATGTGTGTACTTTTGTCATCTCTGATCACAAGACTTTTTCCAGATGTGTGTTAGGATGTTGTGGAGGTGTGCGTGTGTGTGCGTGTGCGTGTGCGTGTGCGTGTGTGTGTGTGTGTGTGTGTGTGTGTGTGTTCACCTGCTGGGGGGGGAAGTTGTGCAGCTGGACGAACAACAGGAAGTTGATGAAGTGTGCGTCCTGTGCGCAGTGAGAGGCGTAAACAGAGCTGAGAGGCAGAGAGTGAAGCTGACAGAACTGAACCGGCAGCGACCAATCCTGAGCCGCCTCGTAGGAGGACCTACACACAGACAAACACACACACACACGCATATTTAAAGTGCAGGGTTCACTATATTTCAGCTATTATGATTCAGCCAGAAAAAGCTAACAAGTCTAAATGATGTTCTTTAAATGTATAATGACAGAAACATTGTAATATAAATATAAAGATGATGTCATCACTCACCTGGCGACGCCTCTCTGCTCCAGGCTGTCCGTCACTGCAGCCTCCAGGCAGCCAATCAGCTGCTCCGCTGCTCCAGGCTCCGCCTCCGCCAGCCGCACACCTTCAGGCACAAATCAGTGTGTTAAAATAATGTGTGTAGAGCTGTGTGTGTGTGTTTACCCAGGTTGTGTGTGTTGTGTGTCTGCAGTGTGTGTGTGTGTGTGTAAGTAAGTAAGTAAGTAAAGCTTTATTTATATAGCACCCTTCACAACACGAATGTACAAAGTGCTTTACAGTACAGTACACAATTCACAGTACAACTAAAATGTAGAATAAAAGGCATAAAAAGGCATAAAACAACAGCAGGTAATACATAGGATAAAACATACGATAAAACACCAATAAAAGACAGCTACTAACTCACCTCCTCCGATGCCCCAAAGGCCTGACGGAAGAGGTGGGTCTTTAACTGCCCCCTAAAAATCTCTACTGAGGCAGAGGCTCTTAGTGTCTGGGGGAGTTTGTTCCAGAGCCTTGGGGCCACCACCTCAAAGGCACGGTCCCCCTTAGTTTTTAGCCTGGTTCGGGGCACCCTTAGGAGGCCTTGCTCAGAGGACCTCAGGGCCCGGGTTGTGCTATGAGGGAGGATCAGGTCATTAATGTAGGCTGGGGCTTGGCCATGGACAGCTCTATAAGTGAAGACCAAAACCTTGAATTGGGTTCTGAGATGGACAGGGAGCCAGTGCAGGGCAGAAAGGATCGGAGTGATGTGGCATGTTTTTTTTGGACCGAGTGAGTAATCTGGCTGCAGCATTTTGGACCTGTTGTAACCGGTTTATTGATGTTTTGTTGAGGCAGGAGAACAGAGCATTACAGTAATCCAGCCGGGATGAAATAAAGGCATGAATAGCCATCTCCATTTCTGTGTTTGATAGAACCCCCCTGAGCTTGGCAATGTTTCGGAGATGGAAAAAACAGGTACGGGTCAGAAGTTTTATGTGTTTGTCTAGTAGCATAGACTGATCGAAAGTTACACCAAGGTTTTTGATGTTTGCCCTGATGTTACCACTGAAGGAACCCAGGTGGCTTGCTATCTTAGAGGCAATGTTATCAGCCGCTAAGATCAAGACTTCGGTTTTTGAAGCATTGAGCTGTAGGAAGTTGCTTGACATCCAATCCTCAATTGCAGACAGACATGTGATGAGAGTGTTTACAATTTCCATTTTGACGGGTTTGAAAGAGATGTATATCTGGATATCATCTGCATAACAGTGATATGAGACACCCTTGAATTGGCTAATTATGCAGCCCAATGGGAGCATGTACAGGGCAAAAAGAAGGGGGGCTAAAACAGAACCCTGGGGCAGGCCGCAGGATAGCGGAGTGCTGTGTGATGAGAACGGGCCCACCGCCACGGAGAAACTTCTCCCACTGAGGTACGAGGCAAACCACTGGAGGGCAGACCCTGAGATGCCTACCCACTCCCTGAGTCTATCTAGCATGATGGCGTGGTCCACTGTGTCAAACGCTGCACTCAGGTCCAACAACACCAGAACCACGCAATCACCTGCATCCGATGCCATCATGATGTCATTGGAGACCCTGAGGAGAGCTGATTCTGTGGAGTGGTGTTTTCTGAAACCTGATTGGAATTTGTCATGGATTTTATTATCATTCAGAAATGTATTGAGTTGGTTAGCAACAACTTTTTCTAAGACTTTTGACACAAATGGGAGCTTTGAGATGGGCCTGTAATTATTCGGGAGGGAGGGATCTAGATTGGGTTTTTTGAGAATGGGCTGAACAACCGCCTGCTTAAAGAATGATGGGACGGAGCCGGAGACAATGGAGATGTTTATAATGTGGAGCAGGGGTGGACACACGAAAAAACTTCTTTTAGCATAGACGTTGGTAAGGCATCCAGAGGGCTTGAGGAAGATTTCATAGTGCTCACTACAGCGGTCAGGTCGGCTATAGTGATGCAGGAGAAATTACTCTGCGTGGCCTGCCTAACTGGACAGATAGGGAGGGGGGAGTGGGAGGGGTTGATGCTCGACCTCACGTCAGCCACCTTGTTTATAAAACAGGTGAGAAAACGGTCGCAGTCGTCGTTTGAATAAATAGGAACTGAGGGGGTGGACGGGTTTACAATGGTATTTATGGTTTTAAATAGTACTCTGGGGTTGTGCTTACTAGAGGAGATGAGGTTAGAAAAATAGGTTGCCCGGGCGTTTTTGACCAAATTGTTATAATCGCAGTAAAGGTCCTTCAGATGGAGACGGTGTACCTGAAGGTTAGTGGTTTTCCACAGCCGCTCAACTTTGCGGCAATGCCGTCTCAGTATACGGGTGTCCTCTGTTAACCAGGGGGATGTGTTTACAGCCAGGGAGCTGCGTGTCACCATGGGAGCGACGTCATCTAAAATGGCGGAGCAGTGTGTATTGAAAGCATTGAGTGTGTGTGTGTGTTTACCCAAGTTGTGCAGGTATTGTGTAGCAGAGTGAGTGTGTGTAGCAGCAGAGTGTGTGTTGTGTGTCTGCAGTGTGTGTGTGTGTGTGTTTACCCAGGTTGTGTGTGTTGAGCAGCAGTGTGTGTGTTGTGTGTCTGCAGTTTGTGTCTGTGTACCCAGGTTGTGCAGGTGTTGTGTAGCAGCAGAGTGTGTGTGTGTAGCAGAGTGTGTGTTGTGTGTCTGCAGTGTGTGTGTGTGTGTTTACCCAGGTTGTGCAGGTGTTGTGTAGCAGCAGACTGTGTGTGTGTAGCAGAGTGTGTGTTGTGTGTCTGCAGGACAGTGTGTAGCGCTCGGATGTCGACCCTCAGCTTCAGACTGCAGACTCCCAGCAGCTCGTAGAAACACACACACGCTGCGGTGATCGACGACACACACACACACTGCATCGCCAATCGGGACACCTGCTGGAGAGCCTGTTGCAGGCTACACACACACACACACACCCCCACACACACACACACACACACACACACACACACCCCCACACACATACACACACACACACACACACACCACACACACACACAGAATACACAATTAAAACGCATTATTGTTATTATATATATATATACCGTTTTTCATCAATATATTCCATTCCATTATATTCCCAAAAGGTGAGAGAATCTGTTGTCCTGAAACTGGTTCCTGTGGGATTAGTACTGGTTTAGTACGGTTGAGTACTGGTTCCAGTGGGATTAGTACTGGTTCCAGTGGGTTTAGTACTGATTTACTACTGGTTCCAGTGGGATTAGTACTGGTTCCTGTGGGATTAGTACTGGTTCCTGTGGGATTAGTACTGGTTCCTGTGGGATTAGTACTGGTTCCTGTGGGATTAGTACTGGTTCCAGTGGGATTAGTACTGGTTCCTGTGGGATTAGTACTGGTTCCAGTGGGATTAGTACTGGTTCCTGTGGGATTAGTACTGGTTTAGTACTGGTTCCTGTGGGATTAGTACTAGTTTAGTTAGTACTGGGATTACTCACAGCAGTGGGACGTCGCAGCTGCCGCTCAGCTGTTGCTTCAGGAAGGTGGCGAAGGCAGAGGAGGGGCGGCCATGACGCAGGAAGTAGAGGAAGTCCAGATTCTCCATCAGAGCGAAGCTGCTCACCAGGTGAGAGCTGGAGAAGTGAGGCAGCTCCGACAGATCTGAGGGGAGGGGGGGGGGGGAAGGACACCTGGGGGTTAATATCTACATCTGTACACCACCCCAACATTAATGTTCATGCTCTTATTTTGTTACAATATGTTGGGAAAGCCGACTCGAAAAATATGTACTCTGCACCCCGCCTCTAACACGTCTCAAACCACGTCTCAAAACAGGTCTCAAAACACGCCTCAAACCACGTCTCAAAACACGCCTCAAAACACGTCTCAAAACACGCCTCAAAACACGTCTCAAACCACATCTCAAAACACGCCTCAAAACACGTCTCAAAACACGTCTCAAAACACGTCTCAAAACACGCCTCAAACCACATCTCAAAACACGTCTCAAACCACGTCTCAAAACACGCCTCAAAACACGTCTCAAAACACGCCTCAAAACACGTCTCAAAACACGCCTCAAAACACGCCTCAAAACACGTCTCAAAACACGCCTCAAAACACGCCTCAAACACGCCTCAAAACACGCCTCAAAACACGTCTCAAAACACGCCTCAAAACACGCCTCAAAACACGTCTCAAAACACGCCTCAAACCACGTCTCAAAACACGCCTCAAAACACGCCTCAAACCACGTCTCAAAACACCGCTCAAAACACGTCTCAAAACACGCCTCAAAACACGTCTCAAAACACGTCTCAAAACACGCCTCAAAACACGTCTCAAAACACGTCTCAAAACACGCCTCAAAACAAGTCTCAAAACAAGTCTCAAAACACGCCTCAAACCACATCTCAAACACGCCTCAAAACACGTTTCAAACCACGTCTCAAACACACCTCAAAACACGTCTCAAACCACGTCTCAAACACGCCTCAAACACGCCTCAAAACACGTCTCAAACCAAGTCTCAAACCACGCCTCAAACCACGTCTCAAAACACGTCTCAAACCACGTCTCAAAACACGCCTCAAAACACGTCTCAAAACACGCCTCAAACCACGTCTCAAAACACGCCTCAAACCACGTCTCAAAACACGCCTCAAACCACGTCTCAAACACGCCTCAAAACACGTCTCAAACCAAGTCTCAAAACACGTCTCAAACACGCCTCAAAACACGTCTCAAACCACGCCTCAAAACACGTCTCAAACCAAGTCTCAAAACACGTCTCAAAACACGCCTCAAAACACGCCTCAAACACGTCTCAAACCAAGTCTCAAAACACGTCTCAAACCACGTCTCAAAACACGCCTCAAAACACGCCTCAAAACACGTCTCAAACCAAGTCTCAAAACACGTCTCAAACCAAGTCTCAAAACACGCCTCAAAACACGTCTCAAAACACGCCTCAAAACACGTCTCAAACCAAGTCTCAAAACACGTCTCAAACCACGCCTCAAAACACGCCTCAAAACACGCCTCAAAACACGTCTCAAACCACGTCTCAAAACACGCCTCAAACCACATCTCAAAACACGCCTCAAACCACGTCTCAAAACACGTCTCAAAACACGCCTCAAAACACGTCTCAAACCACGTCTCAAAACACGTCTCAAATCACGCCTCAAAACAAGCCTCAAAACACGTCTCAAACCACGTCTCAAAACACGCCTCAAAACACGCCTCAAAACACGTCTCAAACACGCCTCAAACCACGTCTCAAACACGCCTCAAAACACGTTTCAAACCACGTCTCAAACACGCCTCAAAACACGTCTCAAAACACGTCTCAAAACACGCCTCAAAACACGTCTCAAAACACGCCTCAAAACACGTCTCAAAACACGCCTCAAAACACGTCTCAAAACAAGTCTCAAAACACGTCTCAAAACACGCCTCAAAACACGTCTCAAAACACGCCTCAAACCACGTCTCAAAACACGCCTCAAAACACGTCTCAAAACACGCCTCAAAACACGTCTCAAACCACGCCTCAAAACACGCCTCAAAACACGCCTCAAAACACGTCTCAAAACACGTCTCAAAACACGCCTCAAAACACGCCTCAAACCACGTCTCAAAACACGCCTCAAACCAGGTCTCAAAACACGCCTCAAAACACGCCTCAAACCACGTCTCAAAACACGTCTCAAACCAAGTCTCAAAACACGTCTCAAAACACGCCTCAAAACACGTCTTAAAACACGCCTCAAACCACGTCTCAAACACGCCTCAAAAAACGTTTCAAACCACGTCTCAAACACGCCTCAAAACACGTCTCAAAACACGCCTCAAAACACGTCTCAAAACACGTCTCAAAACACGCCTCAAAACACGTCTCAAAACACGCCTCAAAACACGTCTCAAAACACGCCTCAAAACACGTCTCAAACACGTCTCAAACCAAGTCTCAAACCAAGTCTCAAACCACGCCTCAAAACACGTCTCAAAACACGCCTCAAACCACGTCTCAAAACACGCCTCAAACCACGTCTCAAACACGCCTCAAAACACGTCTCAAACCAAGTCTCAAAACACGTCTCAAACACGCCTCAAACCACGTCTCAAAACACGCCTCAAAACACGTCTCAAAACACGCCTCAAACCACGTCTCAAAACACGCCTCAAACCAAGTCTCAAAACACGTCTCAAACACGCCTCAAAATACGCCTCCAAACACGCCTCAAACCACGTCTCAAAACACGTCTCAAACCACGTCTCAAACACGCCTCAAAACACGTCTCAAACACGCCTCAAAACACGTCTCAAACCACGCCTCAAAACACGCCTCAAACACGTCTCAAACACGCCTCAAAACACGCCTCAAACCAAGTCTCAAAACACGTCTCAAACCAAGTCTCAAAACACGCCTCAAAACACGTCTCAAAACACGCCTCAAAACACGTCTCAAACCAAGTCTCAAAACACGTCTCAAACCACGCCTCAAAACACGCCTCAAAACACGCCTCAAACCACGTCTCAAAACACGCCTCAAACCACGTCTCAAAACACGCCTCAAAACACGCCTCAAAACACGTCTCAAACCACGTCTCAAACCACGTCTCAAAACACGTCTCAAATCACGCCTCAAAACAAGCCTCAAAACACGTCTCAAACCACGTCTCAAAACACGTCTCAAAACACGCCTCAAAACACGTCTCAAAACACGCCTCAAACCACGTCTCAAACACGCCTCAAAACACGTTTCAAACCACGTCTCAAACACGCCTCAAAACACGTCTCAAACCACGTCTCAAAACACGCCTCAAAACACGTCTCAAAACACGCCTCAAAACACGTCTCAAAACACGCCTCAAAACACGTCTCAAAACAAGTCTCAAACCACGTCTCAAAACACGCCTCAAAACACGTCTCAAAACACGCCTCAAACCACGTCTCAAAACACGCCTCAAAACACGTCTCAAAACACGCCTCAAAACACGTCTCAAACCACGCCTCAAAACACGCCTCAAAACACGTCTCAAACCACGTCTCAAAACACGTCTCAAAACACGCCTCAAACCACGTCTCAAAACACGCCTCAAACCAGGTCTCAAAACACGCCTCAAAACACGCCTCAAAACACGTCTCAAAACACGTCTCAAAACACGTCTCAAAACACGCCTCAAAACACGTCTTAAAACACGCCTCAAACCACGTCTCAAACACGCCTCAAAAAACGTTTCAAACCACGTCTCAAACACGCCTCAAAACACGTCTCAAAACACGTCTCAAAACACGCCTCAAAACACGTCTCAAAACACGTCTCAAAACACGTCTCAAAACACGCCTCAAAACACGTCTCAAAACACGCCTCAAAACACGTCTCAAACACGTCTCAAACCACGTCTCAAACCACGCCTCAAAACACGTCTCAAAACACGCCTCAAACCACGTCTCAAACACGCCTCAAACCACGTCTCAAACACGCCTCAAAACACGTCTCAAACACGCCTCAAAACACGTCTCAAAACACGCCTCAAACCACGTCTCAAAACACGTCTCAAAACACGCCTCAAAACACGTCTCAAACCAAGTCTCAAAATACGTCTCAAACCACGTCTCAAAACACGTCTCAAACCACGCCTCAAAACACGTCTCAAACCACGCCTCAAACCACGTCTCAAACCACTTCTCAAAACACGCCTCAAAACACGCCTCAAACCACTTCTCAAAACACGCCTCAAAACACGTCTCAAAACACGTCTCAAAACACGTCTCAAAACACGTCTCAAAACACGCCTCAAACCACGCCTCAAACCACGTCTCAAACCACGTCTCAAAACACGCCTCAAAACACGTCTCAAAACACGTCTCAAACCACGTCTCAAAACACGTCTCAAAACACGTCTCAAACCACGTCTCAAAACACGTCTCAAACCACGCCTCAAAACACGCCTCAAAACACGTCTCAAAACACGTCTCAAACCACGTCTCAAACCACGTCTCAAACCACGTCTCAAACCATCTCTCTCCACACTGGCATATCCACCCTGATCACATCACACGTCTTCTGTTGTTCTTGATTGATAATATTGTCGTGTTTCTGGACTTGTGTTTTGAGTACCTCGTACGGCGACCTCGAGAGCCTTGAAAGGCGCCTTTATAAATATAATGTATTATTATTATATATTGCTAACACCATTCTTTTGATTAAAGTGAATATATAATGTAAGATGCCCATCCCAGTGTCTCAGAGTCCAACGTGATGTCTTTAAATGTCTTGCGTCGTCTCGTCAGAAAGCTCAAACCATTTACTTTAATTGAATATGAAACAGAGAAAAGCAAAAGGGAGATTTGAGAGGCATTTAGAAACATGTTTGCATGAAAAAGGAATTTATTCATTATCAAAATAGTTGCAGAGGACTCCGGTCGACCATCTTTCATTCAATTAGCCACCATATAAAGAAGAAATAGCAGTACATCCTTACATTGAAGGAGCTGGACCCAGAATGTGTTCACGAATGGAACTTTTGCCTCAATGAAAGATAAGAAGGACTCTATTGATCCCAATCAGGGCAATGTTTGCGTTGAAGCAGCGTAAAAAGGCAATACAACAGAGAAGACTAGAAACAACCCAAAATGTAAACATCTCAAATAGAAAAGTAGAAAAAACGAGTTGAAATAAATATAATAATGGGCTATCAGAAAGACTTTTGTTAATGTACAATGTACAATCTACATTTGAGAGTCAGCTCTTCCGTCAGCAGCTGCTAGCAGGGAGGTGAGGTGTTTGAAATGAAGAGCAGGAAGTCATGTGGATTTAATTCTGTTTCTCTCACCGCTGGAGTTCAGGGTGTTTGCCGCCTGCCAGCCGAACAGCCGGCACGGATCCAGAGGATGCAGCGCCTGCAATAAAAACAACACAGACACACAAAGTACTGAAACACACAGGAGGACACACAAAGTACTGAAACACACAGGAGGACACACAAAGTACTGAAACACACAGGAGGACACACAAAGTACTGAAACACACAGGAGGACACACAAAGTACTGAAACACACAGGAGGACACACAAAGTACTGAAACACACAGGAGGACACACAAAGTACTGAAACACACAGGAGGACACACAAAGTACTGAAACACACAGGAGGACACACAAAGTACTGAAACACACAGGAGGACACACAAAGTACTGAAACACACAGGAGGACACACAAAGTACTGAAACACACAGGAGGACACACACTGTGGAGCAGCGCTGCGGACTGTACTCTGTGTTTGCATGACTATTTGTTTAGTTTAAAGGTCTCCTATGATACTGTTTCTCATCAATATATCACAGGTCTCAGATATATCCAGAGCCTGTCTCTGATTGGCTGAAACACCAAACAGATCATTGCAGCATTACCCATAATCCCCTCTGTTTCAGCCCTGTTTCCAAAGTGCTGATTCTCTGTCTGTTACTTTAGATGAAAATAAGGAGCCGTGTCCGACTATCACAAGTAGAATCATAATGAAAAATACGTCGGTAAAATGTGCCTGTAGAAAACGGCTTATGCCACAATAGGATAGCAACAAGTAGTCAAGTTATAGTCAGTTTAGCTTCGGTTGCTATGCTAACATCACCCATGTTATACCAGAGAAACTTTCATAACAGCGTTGTGATGCCAAACAGCGTCAATTCAGACTGACACACATTCACTTAAGGGGAACTGGGGATATGTATCAGCTGCTTGTGTGACAGTCAGACAGTGCATACTTTAGAGCCGTGTGAGCTAACCCGGAGCTAACGGGAGAATAAACTCCCGTGGAAGAGCAGTCAGCACTGCAGCGGTCGCTAAATGAAACACATTAATAAACAATGAACCACGGCACTCTGGAGAAAAGTATAAGGTTGGAGAAGTCGTTATTTAATTTAATCTGGCTTCGTATGATTAAAAGCAACACGATCATCAACCCGACGCAGTCCCCCGTTGTTGTAGTGAGCGCCGTAAGCGACGTAAACTGTGACGTCATGACGCAGCAGCGGCAGCACCAGTCAGGCTCTGAGCGGTGTGAAAAGAGCGGGAGCTGAACCGAAGAACCGGTTCTGAACCTGAAAAGCTCTAGCACGGAGCTTGAACGGGAAAAGCCTTGGTGTGAAAGGGGTATATGAGGAGATTCAGGTGATAAGGTGGGGGGGGGGGGTTACCTTGGTTGCTGATTGGCTAATGGTTACACAAGACAAAACATCGTTATGACATCATAAAGTGGCCAAAATCTGATCAGCTCATTGTCAGACAGGTTTTTATAGAAATGGATCAAAAAGAGAGAGAATCTTTGTTCCTGAAACTTTCAGAGTCTCTTTCCACAGAGGGGACACATGTTGATGAAGAAGAGACATGAAGAAGAGGGGACAAATGTTGATGTAGAAGAGACATGAAGAAGAGGGGACACATGGTGATGAAGAAGAGACATGAAGAAGAGGGGACACATGTTGATGAAGAAGAGACATGAAGAAGAGGAGACACATGCTGATGAAGAAGAGACATGAAGAAGAGGGGACACATGTTGATGAAGAAGAGACATGAAGAAGAGGGGACACATGTTGATGAAGAAGAGACATGAAGAAGAGGGGGACACATGTTGATGAAAGAAGAGACATGAGAAGAGGGGACACATGTTGATGAAGAAGAGACATGAAGAAGAGGGCACACATGTTGATGAAGAAGAGACATGAAGAAGAGGAGACACATGCTGATGAAGAAGAGACATGAAGAAGAGGGGACACATGCTGATGAAGAAGAGACATGAGGAAGAGGGGACACATGTTGATGAAGAAGAGACATGAAGAAGAGGGGACACATGTTGATGAAGAAGAGACATGAAGAAGAGGGGACACATGTTGATGAAGAAGAGACATGAAGAAGAGGGGACACATGTTGATGTAGAAGAGACATGAAGAAGAGGGGACACATGTTGATGAAGAAGAGACATGAAGAAGAGGGGACACATGTTGATGTAGAAGAGACATGAAGAAGAGGGGACACATGTTGATGTAGAAGAGACATGAAGAAGAGGGGACACATGTTGATGAAGAAGAGACATGAAGAAGAGGGGACACATGTTGATGAAGAAGAGACATGAAGAAGAGGGGACACATGTTGATGTAGAAGAGAATGAAGAAGAGGGGACACATGTTGATGAAGAAGAGACATGAAGAGAGGGGACACATGTTGATGAAGAAGAACTGAAGACGGAGGGGACACATGTTGATGAAGAAGAGACATGAAGAAGAGGGGACACATGTTGATGAAGAAGAGAATGAAGAAGAGGGGACACATGTTGATGTAAGAAGAGACATGAAGAGAGGGGACACACTGTTGATGTAAAGAGACATGAGATAGAGGGGACACATGTTGATGTAGAAGAGACATGAAGAGAGGGGACACATGGTGATGTAGAAGAGACATGAGAAAGGGGACACATGTTGATGAAAGAAGAGACATGAAGAAGAGGGGACACATTGTTGATGAAGAAGAGACATGAAGAAGAGGAGGACACATGCCTGATGAAGAAGAGACATGAAGAAAGAGGGGGACACATGTTTGATGAGAAGAGACCATGAACGAAGAGGGGACCATGTTGATGAAGAAGAGACATGAAGAAGGAGGGGAACACCATGCTGATTGAAGAGACGAGACATGAGGAGAGTGGGACACATGTGATGAAGACGAGACATGAAGAAGAGGGCACACATGTTTGATGAAGAAGAGACATGAAGAAGAGGAAGGACACATGCTGATGAAAGCAAGTAGACCATGAAGAAGGAGGGGGACACATGCTGGATGAAGGAAGAGACATGAAGGAAGGAGGGACCCATGTTGATGAAGAAGAGACATGAAGAAGAGGGGACACATGTTGGTGATGATAGAAGAGACATGAAGAGAGGAGAGAGGTACACATGTTGATGAAGAAGAGACATGAAGAAGAGGGGACACATGTTGATGATAGAGAGACATGAAGAAGAGGGGACACATGTTGATGAAGAAGAGACATGAAGAAGAGGGGACACATGTTGATGTAGAAGAGACATGAAGAAGAGGGGACACATGTTGATGTAGAAGAGACATGAAGAAGAGGGGACACATGTTGATGAAGAAGAGACATGAAGAAGAGGGGACACATGTTGATGAAGAAGAGACATGAAGAAGAGGGGACACATGTTGATGTAGAAGAGACATGAAGAAGAGGGGACACATGTTGATGAAGAAGAGACATGAAGAAGAGGGGACACATGTTGATGAAGAAGAGACATGAAGAAGAGGGGACACATGTTGATGAAGAAGAGACATGAAGAAGAGGGGACACATGTTGATGTAGAAGAGACATGAAGAAGAGGGGACACATGTTGATGAAGAAGAGACATGAGGAAGAGGGGACACATGTTGATGTAGAAGAGACATGAAGAAGAGGGGACACGTGTTGATGTAGAAGAGACATGAGGAAGAGGGGACACATGTTGATGTAGAAGAGACATGAAGAAGAGGGGACACATGGTGATGTAGAAGAGACATGAAGAAGAGGGGACACATGTTGATGAAGAAGAGACATGAAGAAGAGGGGACACATGTTGATGAAGAAGAGACATGAAGAAGAGGGGACACATGTTGATGTAGAAGAGACATGAAGAAGAGGGGACACATGTTGATGTAGAAGAGACATGAAGAAGAGGGGACACATGTTGATGAAGAAGAGACATGAAGAAGAGGGGACACATGTTGATGTAGAAGAGACATGAAGAAGAGGGGACACATGTTGATGTAGAAGAGACATGAAGAAGAGGGGACACATGTTGATGTAGAAGAGACATTGAAGAAGAGGGGACACATGTTGATGAAGAAGAGACATGAAGAAGAGGGGACACATGTTGATGTAGAAGAGACATGAAGAAGAGGGGACACATGTTGATGTAGAAGAGACATGAAGAAGAGGGGACACATGTTGATGTAGAAGAGACATGAAGAAGAGGGGACACATGTTGATGTAGAAGAGACATGAAGAAGAGGGGACACATGTTGATGTAGAAGAGACATGAAGAAGAGGGGACACATGTTGATGAAGAAGAGACATGAAGAAGAGGGGACACATGTTGATGTAGAAGAGACATGAAGAGGTAGGATGATAGGAGACCTTTAATGTTTAGTGTTAGATCTCCTCCTGGATGGAGCGTCTGTCTCCAGGTGAGCCTACCTGCAGCAGGTGGTAGACGGAGACGTCGGAGGTGGCTCCGCCTCCTCGGGGCCCGGGGGGGAACAGAGCTGATCTCAGTTTGGGGTGAGGGGTCAACGCCATCTTCAGCAGCTGAGCGTCCACCGTCCTCTCCGCCCGGCCCGGAGACGCCACCTGCTCACAGGAAGTGACCACAACAGGTGGACACCATTGGTGGAGGTAATAGGAGGAAACTGGGATTAATACTTTTGTGCTGGTATATTGTTCCTCAGCATATTGGACTGTATGATGGGAATATGTAGGATGACCTTATATATAACCCATCTTCTATTTTACTGTTGTTACCTGTGTTATTTACGTTCTCAGATAGGTGTTTAATTCACTTTTACAAATTCTGATGGGTGGTCAGAGGTCAGAGGTCATGGCTCTCAGGTGAGACGGGGGTTACCTGGTCGATTCCTCCGGGGGAGAACATGAGGGAGGCCAGAGCCAGCAGACTGTGGCCCTCCAGCAGGAGAGAGCTGAGAGAGGCCCCGGAGCCAGGTAACAACACCTGAGAGGAGGAGAGGGAGGCAGAGAACACCAGGCCTGGATCTGAGAGAGAGAGAGAGAGAGAGAGAGAGAGAGAGAGAGAGAGACGAGATGAGAGCCGAGAGATGATCATGGAGCAGGCTGAGACGAGAGTGAGTAGAGACGAGAGGTAGGAGAGACGAAGAGAGAGAGAGAGGGACCGAAGAGAGGGAAGAGAGATGAGAGAGAGTCGAGGAGATGGGAGAGGGAGAGAGGGAGGAGAAGGGAGAGGATGAGAGAGAGGGGGGGGAGAGAGAGAGAGAGAGAGAGGGAGAGAGGGCAGGACACCACACACACACACACACACACACACACACACACCCACACACACACACACACACACCCACACACACACACACACACACCTACACACACAGCAACTCCACACACAACTACCACACACACACACACACACACATCACACCACACACATCCACCACGACTACACACACACACACACACACACACACACACACACACACACACACACACACACATCCCCCACACACACAACCATCACACACACACACCACACAACCACACCCACACACACACACACACACACACACACACACACACACACACACACACACACACACACACACACACACACACACACGGTACCTGAGAGGTCGGTGCTGATCTCCTGGATCTTCACCATCATCTCAAACCAGGGCTCGCTCTCAGACAGGCTCTGATTGGTCAGCAGCGGACAGTTCCTGGGGGTCAACCTGAGGAGAACACAGGTCACGCACAAGAAGACACTGTATGTGTACTTGATTTGCCTAAAAACCAGAGTCATGTGGAGATGCTCATTGCTCAAAGTGAAAGCAAACAGAACCGAGGCCCTCTGATTGTGTCCCTGCTCCCGTCCCGTAGTTTCTCACCTGTGGTGCTGCAGGTAGCTGTAGAGCAGGAAGTGAAGGCTGTGCTTCACGCAGAAAGAGATGAAGAGGCTGTGGAGGTCCAGACCCAGAGGAGAGCGGTACTGAGGGAGGGAGGGGGAACCTGACATCACCCCCCCTCCCTGAGAGAGTCTCCACAGGAGCAGCTGGAGGTCACACAGCTCCTCCTGCACCAACACCCCCCTCCTGAGGACACACACACACACTCAGTTAGAGAGGGAGTTTAAAGAGTCCTCTCCTGCTGAGGTGTATATCAGTATGTAGTGTCTCTACTTTAAAGAGTCCTCTCCTGCTGATGTTCAGGTGTATATCAGTATGTAGTGTCTCTACATTAAAGAGTCCTCTCCTGCTGATGTTCAGGTGTATATCAGTATGTAGTGTCTCTACTTTAAAGAGTCCTCTCCTGCTGATGTTCAGGTGTATATCAGTATGTAGTGTCTCTACTTTAAAGAGTCCTCTCCTGCTGATGTTCAGGTGTATATCAGTATGTAGTGTCTCTACTTTAAAGAGTCCTCTCCTGCTGATGTTCAGGTGTATATCAGTATGTAGTGTCTCTACTTTAAAGAGTCCTCTCCTGCTGATGTTCAGGTGTATATCAGTATGTAGTGTCTCTACTTTAAAGAGTCCTCTCCTGCTGATCTTCAGGTGTATATCAGTATGTAGTGTCTCTACTTTAAAGAGTCCTCTCCTGCTGATGTTCAGGTGTATATCAGTATGTAGTGTCTCTACTTTAAAGAGTCCTCTCCTGCTGATGTTCAGGTGTATATCAGTATGTAGTGTCTCTACTTTAAAGAGTCCTCTCCTGCTGATGTTCAGGTGTATATCAGTATGTAGTGTCTCTACTTTAAAGAGTCCTCTCCTGCTGATGTTCAGGTGTATATCAGTATGTAGTGTCTCTACTTTAAAGAGTCCTCTCCTGCTGATGTTCAGGTGTATATCAGTATGTAGTGTCTCTACTTTAAAGAGTCCTCTCCTGCTGATGTTCAGGTGTATATCAGTATGTAGTGTCTCTACTTTAAAGAGTCCTCTCCTGCTGATGTTCAGGTGTATATCAGTATGTAGTGTCTCTACTTTAAAGAGTCCTCTCCTGCTGATGTTCAGGTGTATATCAGTATGTAGTGTCTCTACTTTAAAGAGTCCTCTCCTGCTGATGTTCAGGTGTATATCAGTATGTAGTGTCTCTACTTTAAAGAGTCCTCTCCTGCTGATGTTCAGGTGTATATCAGTATGTAGTGTCTCTACTTTAAAGAGTCCTCTCCTGCTGATGTTCAGGTGTATATCAGTATGTAGTGCCTCTACTTTAAAGAGTCCTCTCCTGCTGATGTTCAGGTGTATATCAGTATGTAGTTGTCTCTACTTTAAAGAGTCCTCTCCTGCTGATGTTCAGGTGTATATCAGTATGTAGTGCCTCTACTTTAAAGAGTCCTCTCCTGCTGATGTTCAGGTGTATATCAGTATGTAGTGTCTCTACTTTAAAGAGTCCTCTCCTGCTGATGTTCAGGTGTATATCAGTATGTAGTGCCTCTACTTTAAAGAGTACCTGGCCAGTAGGTCGAGGATCTCCTCCCTCAGGAACAAGCTACAGGATGTGTTATTGTTCACCAGTTCTGGGTTCACATCCTCGTTCTGGATCCAGTCGATGATGCGGCGCTGGTCGTGGAGAGACGTCAGGTAACGCCACAACAACGCCGAGTCACAGGAAGTCACCTCTGATGCAGAAAACAAGAAATCTGTTTAACAATCTGTAATTTGATCAATTACATAAATGTAATTCATTAATTAATATTAATTAAATTGAATTGATTTGTGGAATTACATTTGCTGTTGTATTCTTTAATGAATACGTTAAATACAGTCCAGTAAAGCTGTACCTGTGTGAGGCAGTCTGGACAGCAGCACAGCCGTCCTGCAGCTCTGGTCCCAGTTCCTGACCCAGTCCAGCCTGAGGGTCTTCCAGAGGCCCCCTCCCTCTTCCTCCTCACTCCTCTGTAACAGTAGCTCCTGCAGAACCTCCTCCCCAACACCCCCCTCCCTGAGCACCATCTGCACCCCCCTGAGAGGGAGGAGGAGAGAGGAGACAGAGATGTGACCTAGCTATGATTACATGCACACTAAACACATCTGGATGTCATTTCAAGAAGAAGGGTTAGGGGTAGAGCTTCTTGGAAGGAAACAGTAACTGCATGGGGCTTTGATTTGGAAAACTAGTGAGTAATATTTTAGTTCGTTACAGCCTGTTGTTTGTTTGTTTGTTTACACATGGCTTGTCTTGTAACTATGTTGTTTAATGTAAATAAAGGCACCATGTGCAGTATGTGCACCTGTGTGAAGGTGTTTCTGCAGAGCGGGCAGCAGGCAGGGACCCCAGCCTCTCCATCTGCTTCATGAACTCCACGCTCTGCACCTCCTCCTCGGGGAGGAACCTCCGCCCTGACAGCTCCTCCACCTGCACAGGAACCAATCAGGAGCTCTGGTTAACATCTGTCAACCAATCACAGGCCTCAAAGATTCATTAATTAACATCTGTAAAGACCTGAGCCTTGATCACATTTGTAAACAATCAAAGTCCTCAAACATTGTAATTAACTGTTAACCAATCAGAGGCCTCAAACTCTCGTTAACACCTGTGAACCAATCACAGGCCTCAAACTCTCGTTAACCTCATTGATCAATCAAAGGCCTCAAACATTGTTATTAACTGTTAACCAATCACAGGCCATAAAAAAATACCTTGTTAACATCTGACAACCAATCACAGCCTTTAAACTCTCGTTAACATCTGTGAACCAATCAGAAGCCTCAAACTCTCGTTAACATCTGTGAACCAATCAGAAGCCTCAAACTCTCGTTAACATCTGTGAACCAATCAGAAGCCTCAAACTCTCGTTAACATCTTTGAACCAATCTGAAGCCTTACCTCTTTAAATTAAATGTCAACCAATTACAGGCCGTAAAAAATCCTCGATAAAAACTTTGATCAATCAAAGGCCTCAAACATTGTCATTAACCCTCGTTAACATCTGTCAACCAATCAAGGGCCTCAAACTCTTGTTAACCAATCACAGGTCTTACCTCTTTAAATTAACTGTCAGCCAATCACAGGCCTCAAACATTGTAATTATCTGTTAACACCCAATCCTAAAAAGCCAATAGCCTCAAACTCTCGTCAACATCTATCAACTGAGCATAATAAGACATTTGGTTTGAATAAAGGCCGTGTGTTTGAACTCACCACGAAGTCCCGCAGGTCGTAGTCGTCGGTGAAGAGGCAGATACTGCGGAGTTGCTGCTTTACGCTGAAGCCCTGAACGCACCATCAGACAGTTTCAGATTTCACTTTGACTTTATTAAAGTATCCTCTAGAGCAGGGGGGTCAAACTCAATTTCATCACGGGGCACATCAGCATTATGGTTGCACTCAAAGGGTCGGTTGTAACTTTAAGAATATATAAATATATACATATAAAATAATGTATTATATTACATTATTGCCTCTGCAGTGGATTATTATCAGATAGGGTAATAACTTCATACTTAACTACGTCTGAAAGCAGAAGTCTAGGTCTCTTCAGTGCCCATGTCACAAAATGAGATGCATTGTGGGACATGTAGTTTATGGGCAACGCACTTCTGTAAAGCAGCATGTAACCGTATAATAAACGTATTATATTCTTTCAGAGCTCTTGCGGGCCACATAAAATGAGTTTGACAGCCCTGATGTAGATCAGTGTTTCTCAAAGTGTGGTCCGTGAGACTATTGGGAACATTTCACATTTTAAATAAATAAATTATAAGGTCAAAGTGTTTCTGAAATAGTTTAAAAATGACTAGTAAAGGTGGCAACAGACACACGCAGTCAATGAGTGCGTTAACAATGCTAAATAAATGGAACAGTGTAAAATACTACTAGATTTGTTAAGTGGTCCGTGGTATGAAAAAGTTGAAGGAAACACTGATCTACATGTTAGCATTGATCACGCCTGCTTTAAGCATGTTTAGCATGCACATGTTTAGCATGCAGAGGTAGCATGAAAGCAGGGATCTGATAGGCTGCCAGGTCCTCACCATGTTAGTGAGCAGAGTGTTGGCAGTGTGCAGGTCTCTGTGCTGCAGACAGGTGAACACCTCCTGTAGGCCCCGCCTCCTCAGAGCAGACAGACGCTGCTCCTTCAGGCCCCGCCCCCTCAGCACCGCCTGAGCCCGAGGTATCTGATTGGTCAGGATGGAGCGCCGCACCACTTCCTGCAACACACACACACACACACACACACGGTTACTTTCAGAGATAATTGTGACCTGCTTTATCGAAATCAGCAGCTTGTTGTTGTTGCTAGTAGCATCGAGGACGAGGATATTTATTTTACTCGGATGAGGGAAAGTCGGTGAGTGTGTAAGTGTGCTTGAGTGTATGTATTTTACAAGGAAACACACACACCTCCAATCGTAATGTAGTACTCCATTCGCCACTTTATTTGAGAGCAAATGAAAACACACTGTCTCGGGCCCTGCTGTGTTATTATGTATATTATGAAATCCAGTGGCGAGCCGTCAGGGCCCTCTAGGCCCTCTGTGAGGGCCTAAGATATTCAAAAAAATCATATTTAAAAACATTAAAAAAAATATATATCTTTTTTAAATATATCTTTTTTTAATATTATTTGTGTTATATTTTTCATTAGTTTTACCGAAAAAAAATTGATTTAATTGTATTTAAAATAACATTTCCAAATAAATAAATCCTTCGAATCTGCCTGTTCAGTCTCTGTTGAATGTGAAGGGTTACATGAAAGAAGCTCGTCTGGCCCTCTCTGCGATTCACAGAGGGTTGCTATAGTAACTGAACGAGAGAGTAATGTCAAATGACAGTACAATTGACCAATCATATCTTCCCTCTAAATGGGTGGGTTTTATTATCGCGGACTTTATGACAAGTTCCGCCCGCTGTGAAACTGTTCTTGTTTCCATAGCAACAACAACTTCCTGTCAACAGCGTGAACTCGCCTTCAAAATAAAAGCATGCCAAATTATACTTAAGACATACAACTGCAACGAAAGTAACAAACACAATGCAATATCATTTTCAATGTCAAAGAACACAAATTGGGTTCACAGGTGTTGTTTTGTGTGGTAGAGGGTCGCTGTCATTGATGCGTTTTGCACCCTGGGCCGTTGTTTTGATATTCCGCTGAAGTATACGCTGCGACGTAATAACTATTTTTTTTTCTTTTTTTCAAGGGAAGGGGTGGGGGTCAGAGGGCCTAGGTATAAAGCTCACGGCTCGCCACTGATGAAATACTTTTTTAGAATCAACCAAAACCCCAAAATAATCCACGATTATCTCAGAATGCTCCGTCGCTCGTTCATCACCATTTTCTCGCTCAATAAAAACATGAAAACAAAGTGTCAGTGTTTGATGAGCAGCAGTCACCTCCGTCTGCAGTTTCTCCCACTCGTCCTCCTCTTCCTCCCTCTCCTCCTCTTCCTCCTGCAGGGGGGCAGCCTCAGCAGAGTTTGTGCTGCAGGTGTCGCCCCCTACAGGCCAGGGGAACCTCTTCATGTATCTCCTGAGCTCCGTGACGTAGCGATCCAGAACCTCCACCTGCACGCTCAGATCCTCGTCTGCAGACACAGAACAACAGCTCTTCAATTCCTGTCCATTTGACTTTGCTTCTAATGTGAGAATAATCAATACATCAACTGTCACTATGTGTTTTATTGGGTCATTTGTCTGGCCATATAATAGGTTATGAAAGAATGTTATTTGGTTACGCCACTAGAGGGCGACAGAAGATGTGAATGGAGCAGCAAGCGCTAAGAGGCGTGGCCAAAGGGGCCAATAGAACCTGGCCCCTACCCGGCAACCAATGGGAGAAGACTTTAGACTTCTACAGACATGATCAAATGTGATGTAAACAAGAGATCGAGGCTTCTTCCTGGGAATCTGAGAGACAGATAACTACATTGTGTGGGCTGTGGATCAATGAAAGAGGAGAAGACCTCGGCCGAGTACTTTTGCAGACTTATCGTATCATCTTATTAATAAACGCTGTTAATTTCACGAGAAGCTTCCTGGATTCTTTTCAGCTACTCCTACCTCAAATTATAGAAACGCAACACTAGCCTAACTACTTCAAATCTTTCCATAAGTATAAAATGATACGTGTGTATTTGTGTGTGTGTGTGTGTGTGTGTGTGTGTGTGTGTGTGTGTGTGTGTGTGTGTGTGTGTGTGTGTGTGTGTCTCACGCTGTGTGTTGGTCAGCACTGAGCGGATCTGTCTGTTGATGAAGCTCAGCGTGATGTTCAGCAGCTGCTCGGAAAACTGACGACTCTGAGCCTCGCTGTTCGACTCTCTGACCGCCGAGCAGAGCAGATCCAACGCCGAGCACAGCTCCTGGAAACCTACACACACGCACACACACACACACACACACACACGCACACACGCACACACACACACGCCAAGAAATTAGTCAGCTCTTTACCTATTTCTGTCCCCTGGTCTGAAAGTCAATGGTTTTCTGAATGTGTTTTTGGTTGTTATCCTGAAATAAGGTCTGTGGTTAACACAAGCTGGAGAGATTTTAACGTTTTGTTCTACGACATAAAATACGTCAGCTAATACCCCACTGGTGGATTTAAAAACAGAGGTTGCTAATAAGAGTCTAAATGAGACGACTAAACGTCACCAACGGCCAACATTAGCCGCCTTTAGCTTAGCGGTGGTGACGTGAAGTCATGTGACCGTGCTGTAGTTCCTTTATAGCCCAACATTAGCCACCTTTAGCTTAGCGGTGGTGACGTGAAGTCATGTGACCGTGCTGTAGTTCCTTTATAGCCCAACATTAGCCGCCTTTAGCTTAGCGGTGGTCACGTGAAGTCATGTGACCGTGCTGTAGTTCCTTTCTAGCCCAACATTAGCCACCTTTAGCTTAGCGGTGGTGACGTGAAGTCATGTGACCGTGCTGTAGTTCCTTTATAGCCCAACATTAGCCACCTTTAGCTTAGCGGTGGTCACGTGAAGTCATGTGACCGTGCTGTAGTTCCTTCATAGCCCAACATTAGCCACCTTTAGCTTAGCGGTGGTGACGTGAAGTCATGTGACCGTGCTGTAGTTCCTTTATAGCCCAACATTAGCCTCCTTTAGCTTAGCGGTGGTGACGTGAAGTCATGTGACCGTGCTGTAGTTCGTTTATAGCCCAACATTAGCCACTTTTAGCTTAGCGGTGGTGACGTGAAGTCATGTGACCGTGCTGTAGTTCCTTTATAGCCCAACATTAGCCACTTTTAGCTTAGCGGTGGTGACGTGAAGTCATGTGACCGTGCTGTAGTTCCTTTATAGCCCAACATTAGCCTCCTTTAGCTTAGCGGTGGTGACGTGAAGTCATGTGACCGTGCTGTAGTTCGTTTATAGCCCAACATTAGCCACCTTTAGCTTAGCGGTGGTGACGTGAAGTCATGTGACCGTGCTGTAGTTCCTTTATAGCCCAACATTAGCCACTTTTAGCTTAACGGTGGTGACGTGAAGTCATGTGACCGTGCTGTAGTTCGTTTATAGCCCAACATTAGCCACCTTTAGCTTAGCGGTGGTGACGTGAAGTCATGTGACCATGCTGTTCCTTTATGAGTGTGTGAGGTGTGTGTGCGTACTGTGTGTGAGGCTCTGTGGGGGGGGTTGATCGTTCTGGGGGTTCAGGATGTTCTCTTTGCTTTTCAGGTAGAAATCCACCGTGTCCAGCTGACGGTTCTTCAGGCCCGCCTGCAGAACAACAACAACAACAACAGCACAGCTTTAAAACAAACTGCATCTTATAGTTTATAACATTAAGAGAGTTTCCTCTCGTGTGTTTGTTGCGTCTCCCCACCTGCAGGGAGTGGATGGGGATGGAACAGCGCCCCCAGCTGTTCAGGTGACAAACTGCGTCCACCGTGGCTGCGCTGCCGAACAACATCAGCCTGCTGAGCAAGTCCTCCTGAGACACCGAGAACAAGACCTGAAACACACCAGAGTCTGCGGGGAGAAGAGAGGTTGCTGAGTCGTGTTTTTATATATAGGAGTTATTTTTGTTTACCTTATTATTTGCCCTTTTGTTTGTTTGTTTGTTTGTTTGTTCATTCACCATGTAAAGCGGTCTTGGGTCCCTTGAAAGGGTTCAGAGCTGCTGACTCACCCTTCAGCAGCAGGCGGTGCTGCCTCTCTCCACATCGCTGCACCGGAGCCGCCTCCCCCTCCGCTCGGTGTTGCGTCACATTCCCGGACTCCATTTCCCACAATGCAACTGTGGTCTCCGCGTTGCCGGGGGAGACGAAGGTCAGCTGGGCGGAGAACTCGGTGACGGTGAGCAGCGACGGAGCCGAGGATTCGGGGACGGAGAAGGAGACGGTCGCCCCGCCGAGAGGCACCCTGCTGTGGGAGGAGGAGGACTGGGAGTACAGGTGGGGGAGGGAGGAGGACCAGGGGGAGGGAGAGGAGGAGGAGGGAGAGGAGGGAGAGGAGGGAGGAGGCTGGGCTCTGCTGTACATGGAAGACAGACGAGCTTCCCAGGAGCTAAAGGGAGACGATAGAGAGGATTCAAGGTGAATTAAAAGTACCGAGTACATTTTACAAAAATCAATCACCCGTGCGCTATCCTGAAACAGCTGTAAAGTCTATGGCTGCAAATTGACCATTATGTTTGTTAAATATACATATATTAGTTTTCTTGAATAATTAAGTCTACAAGATGTCCAGAAAATAAGTTTAAAAAGCCCCAACAATATCCAAACCCCGTTCGACATCTTCAAAAATGTTCCAGAAAACATTCCTTAACCCAAAAATACTGGCTCTGTTGTGTGATTGGTCAACGGGTTAGAGATGTCCCGCCCCTTAGCCTATCATGTACAATGTGTTGGAGCGCTAGCCAATAGGAGCGCGAGAGTTCTGTAGTGATGTCGCTATGTTCCGAAAGTAAACAAAGGAGTCCAATGGAGGCGTTTGCAGACCTTTAGTGTGTGTGTGTGTGTGTGTGTGTGTGTGTGTGTGTGTGTGTGTGTGTGTGTGTGTGTGTGTGTGTGTGTGTGTGTGTGTGTGTGTGTGTGTGTGTGTGTGTGTGTGTGTGTGTACCGGTCGGTGCTGAAGGTGGATCCGAGGGAAGAGAGGCTGCAGCTGGAGCTCCACAGGGAGTCCTGGTCCACCTGCATCAGGGGCCTCAGAGGGGGTCGGGAGGGGGGGGGTGGCACACAGCAGGTGGTCCGGGAACAGACTGCAACACAGAGGTTTGGTTCAGTGATCACCTATTTTATACCAGCGTCAATTCAGACTGAAACACATTCACTTATGGGGATATTTATAAGAGATGTGTCGCCCCTTAGCCTCACGTACACTGTGTTGGAGCGTTGTCCAATAGAAGTGCAAGTGTTACATAGGAATTCAAATTGAAAAACTAAGCGCGGAGCTAGCACTGGAACTGGTTTGGTGGCAAATGAGCATTACTATCTATGCTCCATATGTCTGGCAAAAACTCATTCAATATTTCCCGTTTCTCTTCGCTGCGGGGTTACCTGGGTTACCTGAAGCTGCTTCTTCACACATGCTCTCTCCAGTACAGGTTAGCTCTGAGTGTTAGCATGCTAATGTAAACAAAGACCATATAACTCCCAGAACACGTCTCATTGTTTCCGACAGCAACGTTTCTGATTGGCCCGTGGGTGTAAAGCCCGCCCACATTTTAGTGATGTGGTCATGAATCTGGATCAGCTCCGTTGTTCCCCCGTTTCTAGAGATGTGGGTACGGAGGAAAATACAGAGGGTTTGATTTCCTGACACTTTGCGAGTCTCCTGACACACCGGGGACACACCGGGGACACACCGGGGACACACCGGGGACACACCGGCGACACACCGGGGACACACCGGGGACACACCGGGGACACACCGGGGACACACCGGGGACACACCGGGGACACACCGGCGACACACCGGGGACACACCGGGGACACACCGGGGACACACCGGGGACACACCGGGGACACACCGGGGACACACCTTTATTACATTACATTTAGCCAACTCACAATAAGTGCATTCGACTTGATGTAGAACAGACATCCCAAAGTGCTTTTAGCATGATAGGAGACCTTTAAAAACTTCCCATTTCTCCCCCGGCGGGGTTACCCGAGAGTCCTATCTTATCTTATCTCTTAAACTCATCAAATACTTCCCGTTTCTCCCGTGTTACCTGAAGTAGTGTTCCAGGGGCACGGCGGCGGCGCTGTGGCTCTCAGTGACGGCCACAGCTGTGCTCAGATCAGCCGACAGCTGCAGGAGGCAGAAGGAGGAAGAGGAGGAGACGCAGGAGGAGGACGAGGAGGAGAGCAGCTCCTCTTCTGGCTGAGCAGCAGACAGGTAGAGAGGGAGGTTGATGGAGGCCAGCAGGCGGCCATCACTGAGGCTACACACAGCTGGGGTCAGAGGTTAAAGAACACACTGATCTTATAGCTGGGGTCAGAGGTTAGAGAACACACTGATCTCAAATCAGAGATCACCAGGTGAGATCTGTCCACTGAGTGAGTTAGTGAGTTATCTAGTAATTGTGTTATTGAATGAGATAGTTCATAGAGGTACCGTATTGACCCCTCTTTTTCAAGACTCACTTTTTGGAAAAATACCTTTAAGACTCGTTTGGCGCCATCTGTTGGTGTGACTGTGTAATTACATCAACAAGTCTAGACCCAGAATAGAAGACGACCGCTCTTTTTCAGATTTCTTTCTAGGAAAAAAAACTCGTCTTATATTCGGGTCAATACGGTAGTCACCCAACTACTCAACGTTATTTGTTTAGTTTTATAAAAACCGGGTTATACCTAATTCAATACTTTAAAGGATGATTTGATGTCCTAAGAGGATGGAAGTGTCTACAGAACAGTAATATCTGATATGAACTTGATTCTAACCACATTAGTTTCAGACTGAGAGGATACAGATGAGTCCGGAGGAGCTGAGGCTGAACAGAGTCTCTCTGACCACACATACACAGCGGTGCACAGAAGAGTGTGTGTGGCCGTCAGGAGAGTGTGTGTTGCTGTCAGGAGAGTGTATGTGGCCGTCAGGAGAGTGTGTGTCTTTGTCAGGAGAGTGTATGTGGCCATCAGGAGAGTGTGTGTTGCTGTTAGGAGAGAGGGTGCTGCTGTCAGGAGAGTGTGTGTTGCTGTCAGCAGAGTGTGTGTGTCTGTCATCAGTGTGTGTGTTGCTGTCAGCAGAGTGTGTGTTGCTGTCAGGAGAGTGTGTGTTGCTGTCAGGAGAGTGTGTGTTGCTGTCAGGAGAGTGTGTGTTGCTGTCAGGAGAGTGTGTGTTGCTGTCAGCAGAGTATGTGTGTCCGTCAGTAGTATGTGTGTTGCTGTCAGGAGAGTGTGTGTGTCTGTCATCAGTGTGTGTGTTGCTGTCAGCAGAGTGTGTGTGTCTGTCATCAGTGTGTGTGTGTATTCTGCAGCAGGAGATGGTCTGCGGCTGCTCGTCCGTCTGCAGCCACTGCAGCTGCAGCAGCCAATCAGAGTTGAGCAGCAGGCAGCCGCGGCCGGCTGAGAAACACAACACCTGGAGAGACTGCAGCTCACACACACCTGAAAACACACATTATTATATTCATACATTAAGGAGAGACATACAGAAACATTGTTTTCATGACATGATGAATGCAGGACTTTTAGTGTAACAGAGTATTCCTACACACTGGTACTTCTACTTTTACTCAAGTACAAGATCTGAGTACTTCTACTTTTACTAAAGTACAGATGTGAGTACTTCTACTTTTACTCAAGAACAAGATCTGAGTACTTCTACTTTTACTCAAGAACAAGATCTGAGTACTTCTACTTTTACTAAAGTACAGATGTGAGTACTTCTACTTTTACTCAAGAACAAGATCTGAGTACTTCTACTTTTACTCAAGAACAAGATCTGAGTACTTCTACTTTTACTCAAGTACAAGATCTGAGTACTTCTACTTTTACTCAAGAACAAGATCTGAGTACTTCTACTTTTACTCAAGAACAAGATCTGAGTACTTCTACTTTTACTCAAGAACAAGATCTGAGTACTTCTACTTTTACTAAAGTACAGATGTAAGTACTTCTACTTTTACTAAAGTACAAGATCTGAGTACTTCTACTTTTACTCAAGTACAAGATCTGAGTACTTCTACTTTTACTCAAGAACAAGATCTGAGTACTTCTACTTTTACTAAAGTACAGATGTGAGTACTTCTCTTAAAGTACAGATGTGAGTACTCACCGGGGTCTTGCTCTCTCAGGGTCTTCAGCAGGCGCTCAGCAGGAACTTCAGATCTGATGGAGATCTTTGAGGGTCTTTCTGCTTCCAGAAGCTTCAGATCAAACTGAGAGCTGACAGACAGCAGCCGCCCCCCCCCCTCCTCCTCCCAGCAGAAACTAGGAGAAAAAGTTGTTTTTCAGAACATTTATAACAAGTTATCCTGATGCAAAGTGCTGGAGACATGTCCCCAGAGTCCCCAGTGTCCCCAGAGTCCCCAGAGTTCCCAGTGTCCCCAGTGTCCCCAGAGTCCCCAGAGTCCCCAGAGTCCCCAGTGTCCCCAGAGTTCCCAGAGTCCCCAGTGTCCCCAGTGTCCCCAGTATACATGTTTGTTTTTTTAGTGACAAAATGGTGATTTGTTTGTGTATAAAGTATCATTATTCCAGACGACGTATCATTAAGGATTGAATTGGTGTTATATACTAATACCCAAGCTTAAGAGCTTGCCTGTGGAAGTTGTCCACATTGATAGGATTTTGTCCACTGAAATGTCACATTTTGACAAATTCAATAGCACAAATAGACTAAAACATATCTAGGGAAAGCATTCCATATACTGTGGTGACTCTTGAAGTGAAAACGTCCATTACATCTTAACAGTATTATTCAAAAATATTAAAGATCACATTGTTCTCTAACGCTTCTACTCTGTGGGACGAATAAAGGTATTCTGATTTATTCTGAAATAGATAACTTTTTTTTCGTCACAATAACAACACGGTGTGTATTTCTGAACCAGGACTCACTCCGTGTATCTCCCGCTCGCCTCTGCCGGGGGAGCCTCTCTGTCGGCCGGGTCCAGGACCTCCAGGAGGCCCCGGTCCCTCAGACAGCCGAGGAGCAGCGACCCTCCGGGGGCCAGGTCCGCCCTCCGGAGCTCCGACACCCGGACACAGTGAGGGTTCTCCGGGATCACACACACCTCCGTGGAGCCGCTCTCCTCCATCATCATCATCATCATCCGCAGAAACACACCGATGTTAGGGAGACATCTGTGGTGGGGACAGACAGTCAGGAAGGAAGGAGCCTCAAACTGAGATTAAAGGACAAGAAGAAACAATGTGGCAGTTCCTCCTGTCAAAACAGCAGCTGGGTCACATGATATGTCCCAGGTCAGCTGACTGGATCCGACCAATAGGAACAGGTTAGAAAAATACAAGGCTGCTAAATCGAGAGACGATAGGCTTGTTTGAGATGAGCTGCGGCTCGCCTCGAAAGTAGACGAGAATAGCCGATTGCAGCCGAGGGAGGTCTCAAAAAACTCGCCTGAAGTCGGACAGCTCGGAGTCGGCTTCTTCTTCTTCTTCTCTCGGTTCTTGGCGGATTGCAAACAACTTTAAGGTGCATACCGCCACCTACTGTACAAGAGTGTGTATCAACATATCATCCTATCACCACAAGACTCTGTTACAAACTGTATATCTGTAGACTTGGTATGTCTTAAATGTCCGGTTAGGATGTATTAGAACGAAATCTAAAATGAAAATTGTAAATAAGCCATCTGTATGTCAAATATGTCTTATATGTCTTAAATGATATGATGAATTGGAAATGGGGGACCCTGATGTAAACAAGACGAAAGTCTTTCTCTGGTCTGCATCCCCTTAACAATTGTATGTTTTGAGCTGTACTGTACTGTACCCAATATACAAGCTGTTAATAAACTTTTCAATCAATCAATCAATCACTTGTGGAATTATACCGTGTATTTACATTGTTTTAAATTCTTCCAATCAATCCTGTTTCACTCAAATACTTAAGAATGGCCTTCCTGGTAGCTCTTACCCCCTCACCTTCTGTTCCCAGTGTCCCCATCAGGCTCCACTCCCTTCCTGGTAGCTCTTACCCCCTCACCTTCTGTTCCCAGTGTCCCCATCAGGCTCCACTCCCTTCCTGCCTCTCTGACCCTGTCTCTTAGTTGTTCCCTCTCTGTTTTCTACATGTTGCAGTGTAATACGATGTGTTCCACATTTTCTTTCACTCCACACCCCCTGCATTCTTCAACTTCGCTTTTTACCATTATAAACATCGTGCCATTTAATCCTGTATGATCCAGTCTGACTAGTGATGATGATCTCCTCCCGTCTGTTCCTTTCTGTGTTATTGTTGACTATATGCTTTCCAAAGCAGATAATGAGTCTGTGCATATCACCACCCTATCAGGTCTGTGCATATCACCACCCTATCAGGTCTGTGCATATCACCACCCTATCAGGTCTGACCTCTTCAACCCACTGTAGCCCAATCATTGCTGCTAGTATTTCTGCTGTATAAACTGATAAGTTATGTGACACTCGTTTTGAGATTGATATTTTGAATTCTGGGATATACACGCCTATCCCCATGCATTCTTGCTTCTTAGATCCATCTGTATACATTTTGAGGTAATTAATACTTTTCGTTCAGGTACATACTCGTTTTAATTCCCACTTCATTTATTTGCCACTCTTTTTTCCTTTCTATGAAACTCATATCTATTTTAGCTTCTGGGGAAAGCCATGGGGGAACACGGCTAAATGGGCTTGCTTTGGCAAACGTTATGGTCTCCACTCCACATGCCCTCGTTCTCTCCTTACTCGTCCAGCCGAACCCACACCGCTGGAACTTTGTATATTCCCAGCAGTCCTGTAGTATTCTGTTTGTGATATGTTCCTCTCCACTTCCTTGTAGTCTGACCCAGTAGGCCTATGACAGAGCAAGTTTCTCTCTTCTGATCTCCAGAGGTGTCTCTCCTCTCGGAGTCGGCTTGACTCGGTTTGCATTTATAAAGAATGCACAAATGTGTTTAATCGTTAATGTCAGATATGTACTAAGTGAATACATTTGTTCCTGCTCAAGATTAGATTCAACTTTATTGTTATTGCACAGATTACAGGTACTGAGACAACGAAATGCAGTTTAGCTTCTAACCAGGAGTGCAACAAGCAGTAAAGTGAAAAGTAATGTACACAATCTACAGAATAAAATATAGAATGAATTGAATGATGAATAAACAGTGAGGGGTATGAATACACTAGATATACACAGCAGCCTGTGAGCAGTATGAACAGTGTGTATGAATACACTAGATATACACAGCAGCCTGTGAGTAGTATGAACAGTGTGAACAGTGTGTATGAATACACTAGATATACACAGCAGCCTGTGAGCAGTATGAACAGTGTGTATGAATACACTAGATACACACAGCAGCCTGTGAGCAGTATGAACAGTGTGTATGAATACACTAGATACACAGTAGCCTATGAACAGTGTGAACAGTGTGTATGAATACACTAGATATACACAGCAGCCTATGAGCAGTATGAACAGTGTGTATGAATATGCTAAGATATATAAAGTATGAAAAAGGTAAGCAGTGCAAGTATAGTATAACATATAGATATTAATTTCATGATGATAAACATTGTGGAACAATGATGAATAATGTGAATGGAAGTGACGACGTAAAACTGACACAAAACAACAACAAACGTTTGCGGAGCCAATGGAGAGTTTCATCAGCAGCACGGGGTAAAACCCACCAATGAGCGCTCAGCTCCAGATACCTGCGAGTCGTTTCCCATCAAGCATTTCACTTCTGCAGCTCATGGAGAGAAACTGCTCCGCCTCGCTCTCAAGGCTGCCGGCGTCTTTGTCCCGCGAGATTTCAACGTCTCATGCAGTCGAGCCTCCAGAGCAAGTCGGACAAAATGACTAACCATCATGCAACGCACGAGCAAGACGGCGGTCGCAATTGCGCAGGTCTGCGTCGGTCTCGCTCATCTCAAACGAGCCTACTATTTCAAGCATACTACGTTATCGAGTCCCGCCGAAGGACTGTTCCAATGTCCAGCATACTTGGAATTCTACCGAGGCCGGCGTACTTCGTAGCGAGAAATTTCGAGGCTGCACATGTGTAGACTCCGCGGTCTTAAAATCCCCATAATGCTTTGCGCACGGACCAATTTCCAAATCTTTGGCGGAAATCGAGCTCCATTTAAGGCGGGGCCTATGACGCACACCTGCACACCTGTTAGCCTGTTCTACAATTCTTCGTTTTCCGAGGCTAGGAAGGATTCTTGCCTCGCTTCTGAAGCAACTGACTCGGAAGACATGTGCTACCAAGCAAGCGTCCTCGACATTGAGAAACACCCGCAGTGTGGCAGTTCCTCCTGTCAAAACAGCAGCTGGGTCACATGATCTTCCCAGGTCAGCTGACTGGATCCTTCGTCTTTGTTTGTTTTTATAATTTTATTGTATAGAGAGGCGAAGCCCCTCCCTTTCCGGGGGAGCTCCATGGGACCTTATTTCGGAAAAAGTATGTATTGAAGTCAATGGAGAGAGAAAGATTATCTTTCGATCCCGTTTGAATTGTGCCACGAATTACACATATGATGTTTGTCAATTTATAAGATAATTTTGCAAGTCAAAACATTTAAAATGTGTCGTAAAACTGTGAAGTAACACTTTTTTTGTGTGAACCGCTCAATGAACTACATCTCCCGTCTCGCACCACACACCCAGACGGCCGTCACGTTGGCACATTTCACTCCTTTCTTTCAGAATGAGGCGAAAAGTATTAAAAGAGGTGAAAATCACTCCAAGTCTGGGCATGTTGAGAGCTGTGCATACACACAAGGGGAGTTAGTCGGTTCCTAAGAGCCAGCATGCGGGACCGGGATTCTGGGATTTGTAGTCTTTCTAGTTGCGTATTTGTCATAGTCTTACAGTATATTTCAACAGTTTTAAGACAAACCGTGACTTTTTTGACATGGAAATTATTGTTTAAGATTGACAAACATCATATGTGTAATTCATGGCACAATTCAAACGGGATCGAAAGATAAGTTTTCTCTCTCCATTGACATCAATACATAATCATGGACCAGAAGTAGATGGGCGTGACTTTGCCTCTCTATTACAGATTATTATGCATTATATTATTATTTATCCTCCTCCATTACATTGAGTTGGATACATATTAAGCCATTTTTTGTTCATGTGGTTTTTATTTATTTATATATAGAGAGATACATATATTTTTTCTCGTGATCATTGTTTCCCCCATGACCTCTGGTCCACCCTCCAGTACAGCAGGGGGCGGTCATGCACCTTTAGCTGGTTTGTAGTCTGCCATTAAACCAGCAGAAGGACAGAGCCCTCCACTATCAGCCCGCCAGTCTCCTGTCAGTCTCTCTTTATCATGGCTTCTCATAAACTATGGAAACATTGTTGCATCTTGTGTCGCTAACCGCCTGCAAACTGCTGCATTTCTCTGGACTCAGCGACTACAGGAAAGCCCTAAAGACTACAAAGATGGAGGAGAAAGCGTTAGAAGTGTACGGTGAGTAAACCGGCCTCGTTATTACTGCTGTGTGAAGTTAGACAAGTTAGTTAGATGAACTGTTAACATCCCGAATACTTTATTTACATATAATCTGATAAGTAACACGTTATGAAGAGGTCAGCTGGTCGTGACATGGTGACGTCATTGAAGGCAACGTTAAATACAGGGTTTTCTGAGTGGAGTTTGGTGAGGTTGTAGTGCGTTTTTATATTTGATATGGCAAGAAATCGCTGTTTTATTATTTAGTATGGTTTACTTGCACATGTTTTATCACTGAGGTGTCTGAAGTACTTTTTTACTTAAGTAGAAGTAGCAATACTACATTGTAAACATACTCACACGAGTAGAAGTGGGTCATTCCAGAATTGGAGGACATTTCTTGTCCCCGATATATAAAATCTAATAATCCATGCCCAAAAAGCTAAGACATGCACTTGTTGTGTTAAATATACTTGTCTTGAGACAAGATGCATATAAAGTTGTCGAAAAAGTGGTTTCAAAATATTATTTAAAATATCAAATAGCTCTCGAACACCCCCTAAAATTGCCCTTTTCTCTTGTCCCAGCTTCTTGGTGACCAACTTGCATGTCAAATATAACATTTAAAATAGGGTTTTTATTTACTTTTTTGGTATTATTCTATTGATATATGTGTCTTGTAATGGTAAAATCAATTTGTTAAATCATAAACACATTTTAAATAACAGTAATTTTGCACAGAAGGTGTGTCCCTCAACATGCGCGCAACCCTGTTACCGAAACCTTTTTAGCTTGGCAGAGGAAGTGAAAAAACTGTTTGTCGCATGACACAGTGGAAAGGACATCAGCAAGCCATGTGCTACTACCATGGGTAGACCAAAACTAAGTCCTCTCTTTTATTTGTAATATATTTCCAATCTTGTCACTCTTGAAGGAGTGTGGCACTCATACAAACGCAACCCTGTTACTCAAATTATGAGACTAAAACACATTAATTTCAAATGTATCTTTCTTTAGTTAAATATCTAAGTGTGTCCATTCCTTGACAATAGCATTACATTGTGCAGCTAGCATTAATTCCTGAGGTAAAAGCTCAAATTAGCATTGATTTTCAACCCTGTTACTATAATTAGAGTAACAGGGTTAATTCTTCATTGGAAAATATACATTTGATGCCTTAGCTGGGCAAATCACTTTTTTTGATGGTTTATTATCTGTTTTTCCTAAATACATAACAAAAAATAATAAAATGAAAGGTTCATTTTTCAAAAATGTTGGTGTCTAAATTGTCCTCCAATTCTGGAATGACCCAAGTAGTGGCTACTTCAAGTACTAATTTTCCAGTATGGCCCATATCAGATTACATTTCTGTATTATAATGATCAATTCATAAAGGTAGGGGTTATTTAAATGACTTGCTGTACTGCTGGGTAGCTTAACCTGTAGCCTATAATACATAATGATTTATTGATGGGTTTATTTTCTGTATTTCAAATCCATACCTGCAAAGTAGCTAGTGTCTAATTATGTACCATGAATGTCCTGGAGTAAAAAAGTTGCTGAAAAGGACCGGTTCTGAAACATAATTCAAAAAGATGATTTTCTAAATAGAGTTGAGGGTGTTTGTAATGAATTTACTACTGGAACGTAACTCATATAAACGGGGTTCAGAGTGGCCCAATCTGAACACTGTAGACTCTTTTAAATGTCATCTAAAGACATTCCTGTTTGGTTAAAGGTGGGGTAGGTAATTTTGGAGAAACCGGCTCGAGATCGCTAGAATTTGAAAATACACAGCCGGAACAAATCTGCCACTTCCTCACAGAGCCCCTCCTCCAACACACACGAACGCGCACATGACCAATGAGGGCACGAGATAAGTTTGTGCACAGATGGAAGGCTGACAGGCAGGTAGGCCATCCAGTTATTTTAGCCGGGCCGGCTCAGATGATTGGTCGTGCTTTTTACAGAACTACAGCTTCCACAGATGATATTTTTTTATGGATTTGTTGTCAAAGCACTTCAGATATTCATTGCTATCGGGATGTTAAGAGCATTCCATGGAATATAACAACAAGTGTATCTCGAGCCGGTTTCTCAAACTTACCTACCCTACCTTTAACTTGTGTGCTTTTATTCTATATTATTCTATGTTTGATTGTGTTTTTCACAATGTATTGTGTTTTTAGCACTTCTTAACATGTGTCATGGAAAAGAGCTTTATAAATATATTTTACTTACTTACTTACTCACATACATACTCGCATACTCGCATACATACATACATACATACATACATACATACATACATACATACATACTCACATACATACATACATACATTCATACATTCATTCATTCAGGACCACAGAGTATGTAACTGCTGCTCTTCCTCAGATGTGATCCGCTCCATCCGGGACCCGGAGAAGCCGAACACGCTGGAGGAGCTGGACGTGGTGACGGAGAGCTGTGTGGAGGTGAGGGATCTGGGGGAGGAAGAGTTCCTCATCATCATCAAGTTCTCCCCCACCGTCCCTCACTGCTCCCTGGCCACGCTCATCGGTGAGTCCCTCTGCAGAGACACCACCAGAAACAACACAAATGAATAAGCCATCCAACCACAAACTGTATTACTGAATGAAGTGGATAGTTAGGAAGTGAAACGAGGGATCGTTGATTAAAATCCGAGCCTCAGAGTCGGTCACCTCTACATTCATATGTGAATGAGTCTGAGCATCATTCGTCCGTCAGTGAGAGAGAATCGTTCAGAGTCTGATGTTCCTGCTCCGTGTTTCTGTTCCTGCAGGTCTGTGCTTACAGGTGAAGCTGGAGAGGTGTTTACCTTTCAAACACAAGGTGAGTTCCCTCAGAGACATCAAGTGTCTGCACGGAAACTACAAAACACACATTGTGCAATCAAGCCGTGCACATCATACACTTTTATATATGTCAACTAAATAAAAAAATGGATTCAGCCGTGCATGCACAGGTCCCTTTCGCCTCACACAATACTGTCTTCATTTAGTCTTTGCCTCATGTAACTTCTGGAGAGCCACATTAGAACAACTGTGCTCTTAATAATCCAAAGACTTTATTGTAAACTGCTGTTTTAAGGGATTGTAGCCTCTGCAGACCATTGACATGCAGTCAGATCTATAGGACACACAGGAGAGGGAATAGGGCCCCTTTAAAATGAACACACACAGATATAACAACCCCTACCTCCCAGTGTTTGCGTCATGGTTTATTTCTAGATATTTTGTGGTTTTAAACTAGGGCTGTGCAATTAATCGTATTTTAATCGCAATTACGATTTTGGCCTGCCACAATTACGAAAACAACATAATCGAAAAAAACAATTATTTAGCTTTGCTTGGTTGTGACATATTTGATCTAATTAATTTTGGTCTCATTTATTTGTATTTATCATATTTATATATGTTTAGTAGCTTGTGGAAGTGCGCTCCAAAATATTTGTTGATCTTGTTTATTGGTATATTATTTATTTAAATGTCTCATTTATTTTATTTATTGGTTTCTCAGTTGAATTATACGTTCAGGGTAATCAACAGTTAAAAAGATACTGTTCAAATTATTATTTGTATTTGTTTTAAAGTTCAATAAATGGATGTTTTCAAAGTCAATGAATAATCGTATTTAATAATCGTGATATCAATTATTGACCCAAATAATCGTGATTATGATTTTTTCCATAATCGCACAGCCCTAATTTAAACTCTTCTCCAGCCGTTTGCATCGTCTCTTAAATGATGTTCTGTACCTCTGAGCTGCACGTGTCCCACTTATAATCCCACTTATAATCCCATTTATAATCCCAGTTCTTCTGCAGCGCTCTTCATCTCATTCAGAGCTTCTCTGAAATACTTTGTTCTTAATTGAATGTCCTGAATAAAGTAGACCCTTTGCTCTTTCTGTCTCTCCTCAGCTGGAGATTTACATCTCAGAGGGAACGCACTCCACTGAGGAAGATAGTGAGTCTCTGTCTTCATTACTTTTCCATTTAACTCTGCAAATGTTCCCGTTAGTTAAAAGACCTCCTGCTGAGTGTCGGAAGTCTACATTATCACCACATTATAATAAAGTAATATATCAGTGTTTCCTTTCTACGCTGCTTCCTCCTTCTACTTCACTTCATGAGAGAGGGATATGTTGTACCGTTTATACACGACATCTATCCTTTAGTTCCTTTCTACAAAAATAAAAACACATTTAATTCATAGTCTCGTTTACCAGCTCTTATCATGAACCCTGAAATGTTGAATACCCCAAAGTTTCATGATAGAAATGTATAGTAGGGTCTCCAGCACATAGAAACTGCCGGATGCTAACCTGCATACAGTATGTTGGACAATTTGCACAATTAGCATGAATTGTCTTAATTAGCATGAATTGTCTTAATTAGCATGAATTGTCTTAATTAGCATAGGCAGACAAAAGATTTGGGCCATTTTGTAGGTTATTGAGGATGCTGAATCCATTTCTGATCCATTTTCAGATGAAGAATAGAAGCTCTAACCAGAAAGAGGCCACATGAGGATTGCGGTCGAATAGTCCAAAAAACAGCTCCTAAATTCTAACCCTATCGTCTATCCCTTGACCTCTGAGTGAAAGGTCACGGGGTTAAGGGATAGTGGATAGGAGAATTCAAAAGGATTTAGGAGAAGAGACTGCGGCACTTTAGAGAATCGACTGCACTTCCACTATCCGACGTGTTTATGATGCGCCAGCAGAGGTCATAAATGTGCGCCTGCTGCTGTGGGGAAACTATGTAAACTACAGTTTTCTATACAGCGGACTACAACATGGATGTTTAATAAGAACGAGGGACTACTGTAAACTCATCTAGAGACTCTGCACCGTGCTCTGATGCTGTTATGCTTTATGAACGGGGACAACAGAGAAACATATTCTTCATGACCAAAGCTGGATTTGAAATAAAAAAGGAAAGTGAAACTTATGCTCGTCACCCTCTCCCTCCGGTCCACATTAATACAAATGATCCCAATACGTATGATTGTATGAAAAGATCTTCAAATCAATACAAATGTATTTATTATAAACGTTAGTCCTTAACATCTATCACTGTGTATATCACCATTCAAACATCTTTTAAAAGTTGAACAAACCACACAGCTCAGTAAAGACTGTGAAATGTTGACTTTATTTGATCATTTCAGTAAAAACTAACGTTCATATTTCTCTTTTTGATTATAATACTGATGAACGTTCAAAACAAAGCACTTTGGCAACTTACCACATACGTTTTAAAATGCTTAATAAGCACCGTAACTTTCATGATATCATTTCTCCGTCATAATCGGTTGTTTCCGTCAACGGCCGACTGTTGTGTGACGGCAAATGCTGCGGCCGCAAGGCATTGTGGGGCAGCATTTTCTCCTCTCCTTTCGGTTAGGGAGGTCCAGTGGTTCCTAAGCTAAAGGAGGTTATAAAGGAAGTTTGAAACCTCCTTTCCTTTCATTTAGAGAATTGGAACGGCACTTATCATGGCTGCCACTGAGGGACCTCCGGGTCATTTCACTCCGTTAGGAAGGTTCCTAAGATAAATGGACTATTCGACCGCAACCCTGTTCTCTCTGTGGGAGGATTCTGATGCATTTTGGGTCGATTTGGAAGATCTTGGGGATCATTTGGATTGGACAGATTGCTTATTTATTGAAAAAGATTTGTCCACAGTAGAGGTGATGATGTTCATCTTGTGCTCTCTATATCCAATGGTCTCATCACTACTCATGGTGGTCCCAACCAGTCCACAGAGAGAAGAGATGTGACCACTTTCTGGTTATAATCAGCCAAGATATTTGTTAACCTTTTGTCTGAATATGCTAATAAACGCAACTCATGCTAACTGTGCAAATGTCTCAACATATGCAGGTTAGCATCCGGAGGTTTCTATGATCTGGGGACCCTACTCTACATTTATATCATAACACTTTGGGGTACTCAATATGTCCGACAGGTTCAGTGTGTTGTTGTTTGTGTCGTAACTCTGTGTGTGTGTGTGTGTGTGTGTGTGTGTGTGTGTGTGTGTGTGTGTGTGTGTGTGTGTGTGTGTGTGTGTGTGTGTGTGTGTGTGTGTGTGTGTGTGTGTGTGTGTGTGTGTGTGGTGTGTGTGTGTGTGTGTGTGTGTGTGTGTGTGTGTGTGTGTGTGTGTGTGTGTGTGTGTGTGTGTGTGTGTGTGTGTGTGTGTGTGTGTGTGTGTGTGTGTGTGTGTGTGTGTGTGTGTGTGTGTGTGTGTGTGTGTGTGTGTGTGTGTGTGTGTGTGTGTGTGTGTGTGTGTGTGTGTGTGTGTGTGTGTGTGTGTGTGTGTGTGCTGTGTGTGTGTGTGTGTGTGTGTGTGTGTGTGTGTGTGTGTGTGTGTGTGTCCAGTTAACAAACAGATCAATGATAAGGAGCGAGTGGCGGCCGCCATGGAGAACCCAAACCTGAGAGAGATCGTGGAGCAGTGTGTGACCGAGCCGGACGACTGAGTGTGTCCCTGTGTGTGTGTTTCCGTGTGTGTGTGTGTGTGTGTCTGTGTGTGTGTTTCCGTGTGTGTGTGTGTGTTTCCATGTGTGTGTGTGTCTGTGTCTGTCTGTCTGTGTGTTTCCATGTGTGTGTGTGTGTGTATGTATGTGCAAGGGTGTTTGTGTGTAAGGGTGTGTGTTTGTGGACCCTCCCATCATGCACTGCGGCGCTCGGGTGAAGTGGACCAGCCTCCTCATGTTTCCCTGTTCTTAAAGTATGTCCTTTTTTTTTTTTAATGCAATCATCCTGTGAATGATATCTTTAAAAAGTGATTATTTTTAGAGAAGATGTGACGTGTAAAATAATCTGATCTAACCTGATTAAAATATATAGAGTATGTCGTCTTCTTCCTCTTCTAATGTTTTTATTGAATCTGCAACACAGACTTGATACAGAATGAAATGTGTTGGTGCATTTGAGGTGGGGGGGAACTCCCCTAGCCTTTGCAGACCATTGACATGCACTAACACCTATAGAACTACAGGAGACCCTTACAGAAAAACACTATAGTATTACTATTAAGAATTACTATAGAAATACCACAACAAAACTATCAGTATTATTAAAGTCATTCTGTTTTTTTGGAACACACTACAGAGAATGACTTTAGTAATAGTTGGCTATGGTGATGTTATAGTGAAGTGTTATACTATAGAGTTATGTGTATGTATTAGGGCTGTCAAGTTAACGCGTTAATAACGCGTTAACGCAAACAAAATTAACGCCACTAATTATTTTAACGCGATTAACGCATGTGTATTTTTTGTCCTCGGCCGCCGTAGTTTCAGAGCGCATCGAGTTTAAAATACCATCGACTGGGGTTGCGTTCGAATACTCCAAAAAAGCAGCTCCTAAGTTCTAACCCTATCGTCTATTCCTTGACCTCGGAGTGAAAGGTCACGGGGTTAAGGGATAGTGGATAGGAGAATTCAAAAGGATTTAGGAGAAGAGACTGCGGCACTTTAGAGAATCCGACTGCACTTTCACTATCCGACGTGTTTATGATGCGCCAGCGGACGTCATAAATGTGCGCCTGCTGCTGTGGGGAAACTATGGAAACTACAGTTTTCTATCCAGCGGACTACAACATGGATGTTTAATAAGAACGAGGGACTACTGTAAACTCATCTAGAGACTCTGCACCGTGCTCTGATGCTGTTGTTTTATGCTTTATGAACGGGGACAACAGAGAAACATATTCTTCATGACCAAAGTTGGAATTGAAATAAAAAAGGAAAGTGAAACTTATGCTCGTCACCCTCTCCCTCCGGTCCACATTAATACAAATGATCCCAATACGTATGATTGTATGAAAAGATCTTCAAATCAATACAAATGTATTTATTATAAACGTTAGTCCTTAACATCTATCACTGTGTATATCACCATTCAAACATCTTTTCAAAGTTGAACAAACCCCACACAGCTCAGTAAAGACTGTGAAATGTTGACTTTATTTGATCATTTCAGTCAAAACTAACGTTCATATTTCTCTTTTTGATTATAATACTGATGAACGTTCAAAACAAAGCACTTTGGCAACTTACCACATACGTTTTAAAATGCTTAATAAGCACCGTAACTTTCATGATATCATTTCTCCGTCATAATCGGTTGTTTCCGTGAACGGCCGACTGTTGTGTGACGGCAAATGCTGCGGCCGCAAGGCATTGTGGGGCAGCATTTTCTCCTCTCCTTTCGGTTAGGGAGGTCCAGTGGTTCCTAAGCTAAAGGAGGTTATAAAGGAAGTTTGAAACCTCCTTTCCTTTTAATTTAGAGAATTCGAACGGCACTTATCATGGCTGCCACTGAGGGACTTCCGGGTCATTTCACTCCGTTAGGAAGGTTCCTAAGCTAAATGGACTATTCGAATGCAACCAAGCTGATGCTGACAGCCCCGCTCCTGCCGCCCGCTTGTGGCAGACCACACTTCCACGCTCACCGGCAGGCCCGGACTGGCCATCGGGAGGACCGGGAGGGAGTGTGTATGTGTGGCGCGACTCGCGCGAGCGAGGCACACCTTACGTGTTGTTGTTAGCATCTGGTGCTAGCTAGCTGCGCTAACGGATATAAGGAGCTGTTTCAATGACATTTCGCCGACAACTGCGCCGAGCACTTGACTTTATGCAGGCAGCCAGACAGTGGGACATTGTACGAAAAGTCAGTACACTCAGCACGGATAGTACGCGCAACATGATTGCAGCGTCCAGGCAGCTCCCATTCGAGTATATTATGCCTTTAGCTGGCTCAACGATCCATCACAGTGTCTACACACACACACACACACACACACACACACACACACACACAATGCTATGTTAATGTTCAGAGGTTGTTGTGTTTAATATTCATGAGAATATTTGTCATTGTTCAAATGATAATAAACAAACATATAAAGCATATTTGTCCACTCATATGTTGATAAGAGTATTAAAAACTTGAAAGATATCCCTCTAAGGTACATTTAGAACAGATAAAAAATGTGCGATTAATTTGCGATTAATCGCGATTAACTATTTTAATCGACTGACAGCCCTAGTATGTATATATCACTATAGTGTTTTCTATATTATTTCTATGGTTTTTTGGAACACATTATAGAAAATTACTATAGTGATACTATAGAGTTGGCTATGGTGATCTCATAGTATATTTATAGTTAATCAGCTTTAATAATTATGTAGTCATCCCCATAGTAAGTATGGTAACAACAAATAAAAGTTAGCAAGCAGAGCAGTTTCAATTTGAAAGACAGGGACTTTATTAACAAATATAATACTTTGTTCACAGAATATGAATATGAATAACTTAAATGTAAAAAATGACAAGAACAATTTCAGGCCCGAAACAGAAATGGTTGGGCAATGAAATTAAGGGGAAAAGTGTCCCAACCCCTCTATATATTTCACATTCATATACTTACAACCTTTGCGTCTCTACTAAGTCAGAAATGCAAACTTTGTTCATCAAATACTTCTGGAGTTTTCTTCTTGAGTAGATCAGTTAGGCCATTCAGAAGAACTGGTTCTTGTGGAGGCTGAACAAAACAATAAGAGCAGCACAAAGTCAAGTTCTGGCCTGTGTGATTTTTTGAAACACAATTTAACAAGCATGGTAAATGTATACCTGAGTTTGACAGACTTCTCTTAGGACAGGCTGAAGATCCGGTGCTTCAGAAAAGTGCACTTGGAATCTGTCAAAGTTACTTATGTTCTCACTTCTATCAATATCTATAAACTCTTGGAAGTCTGTGTTGTGTTTTAAAATCCTATCAAGGACAAATCCAAATGCACCTGTTACTTCCAGGAGATGGTTTGTGCTTTGGACACTGTACATTTTTCTTTTAATTTCCTTTCCATTCTTAAATGAAATTGCAAGGACTTTAACAGATTCCTGCTGCTCATTCCCGCTTCCTGTAATTATAAGAAAATGAAAAATTCATCCTGATGTTGACTGATCATATTATGCCAGATTAAATGAAATGCCATCATCTATCATCTTCTAGTTAAACCCATTAATACACACCTTATATAAATTATAAGCAGTATGGTAATTTTAAGTTAATTAACTTTACCCACAAAGACAACGTGTGTGTGTGTGTGTGTGTGTGTGTGTGTGTGTGTGTGTGTGTGTGTGAGATCCCAGATGAGGTGTTTAAACTGTCTCCGTGTTATCTCTCTTTCCTGCTGTTTGATCAACTCTTCATTTTCTCTCTGATATTAGATGTCCTCTCACTGACGCAGCGTCCTCGTGTCTCCTGATCAATAAAGTTTTATCTCCTGACGATATCACCAAGGCAAAGTGAGACAATAGAGAGAGAAAACTCTGAATGTACAGAGTTTAACGATGTTTAATCACGGGTAAATTACACGGGTAAATTAATGAGATAAAAAAATCTAATTTTATTTTTTTCGGAAATGAACGACTTTGATGTTGAAACTGTTGTTTATTAAAGCAAAATTAATTTTACAATTAAATTCAGAATAATTTAATTTTTACCACTTTATTCATCATTTTACTAATGATTCAAGTTTTTTTCTGAATTTATGACTTAAATCACTACCTTTTTTTTCATAAATGTGTGACTTCATAATCTCTGAGAATATTGAATAATAGTTAGCATGTCTCTGACAGCTGAGACTGTACTAAAGTCCTCTTTAAACACTTCACACACACCTTTTTATATTAGGATTAACGCCTGACGTTTGATTGACAGCTGTGTGTGTCACTCAAACTAAAGCTGTGCTCAGGCACTGTAACGCTGCTGCTCCTCCTGCAGGGGGCGCTGTTGAGTTAAATAAAACATCCTGACAGGCATGAGGCTGTAAATGAATAAAGATAAATAAATACAGATAAACAAACTGACCCTGTCCTCATTACACATTCAGATATAACACACAACAACGTTCATTAAGTTACACTTGGCCAGGAGTCAGAGGTGTGTGTGTGTGTGTGTGTGTGTGTGTGTGTGTGTGTGTGTGTGTGTGTGTGTGTGTGTGTGTGTGTGTGTGTGTGTGTGTGTGTGTGTGTGTGTGTGTGTGTGTGTATATATATATACAAAGTCTAGTTTGTTGTTACGTCTACCGTCTCTGCGTAGAATAACAGTAGCAACAAGAACCTGTGGGCTCACGTGCGCCCCCTTCAGTGCGGCAGAGGTTATGGCTGCCTCCCCTGGTGCATTTTCATTGCCGTTGAGAGCAGCGAGCCTAAATATCATATATACGTGAAATAAGTTATTTAGAGACTATGGATGGCGAGGATAAATGTAATAAAGGGATCTACAAACATTACATTGGTGACCTACAGTGAGATGGTGACAGGCATGCGCTTAGGGCCCGCTTTCCAGCCAGTTTCTGTGGGGTGACGCATTCTGAGGTGAGGCAGAGCTCATCTGTGCCTCACCTCACCCCACAGTAACTGGCTTGAGCGCGCTCACAAAATAAGTGGCCGCGCTAAATTAGTGCCCGTGCTCCAGCAAGTTACTGTGGGCTTACGTGAGGCAGAGCACGCCCCTGCCTCACTTGTCATCGCTCCCGTAGCGGAGCTCGGCAAATTTGCTGATTTTGACTATAAAAAGCGATTAGAATCAAACATAAATCACACTTACAACACAGATCAGTGGAGACATTTTATTATTATTACTATTTCGTTTTTCTTTAGTTGTTTTTCCGTTACATTGGAGTATGACAGGTGAGGCTCTGCCTCCCCTGCCTCCACTGACTGCACGTCGCTGATATATATTTATATGAATATGATAATGTTAATAATCCTAAATGTCAGTATTTCTGTTATATATGATTTGTTTCATTCCAAAATGGAGCAACTGTCCCCAAACCCGAATTCCCTGGGATAAATAAAGTATTCTCTGATAAATAGATATATATACACACACAGTATAAACATGCATACTGTATTTACTGGTATATTCTGGGTGTAGTGAAACAGGAAGGTATAGAGAGTCAGCGTAACATTTTTCTTGTGTGTCTGTCTTGAGAAAGTGTTTTTTAATCTGCCCCCTCACAGTGAATGATGAGTGTTTGGACACACTGTCGTACACTGTTTCAGTAAATGGGTTCTGCTCCGTCTCACAGCGGAGAAACATAACTCACGTCTCCTCCAGAACACACCTGGACTCCAACTCTGAAAACCGTTTTAATACAGTTCCAGACCACAGAAACGCTGTAATTAAAATCACCAAAGACTCCCTCTGTATGACTGCACCTCAAATTATACAACACAGTCTCACGGCATTTCGTGTTATAGTCACAAAATTAATCTATTGATTCGTGTTCACCAACACGATTTCCCCATTTTTTTCGTGTCACACAGAACGATTTTAAAAGCAATGTAAATAATAACAAATTAGAAGGAAAAAAAGATGACAAAAAATACAAATGTCAGTATTCTGAGGCTCTGAGCCATTTCTTTTCCTCACTGACGGCAAAAAAAGTCAGACATTATACGATTTAAAATAAAAGGGATAGGGTTAGGCTTAGGGTAAGATATTGAGTAAGAACATGTTTTTATGAACCACACAGCTTCTGGTCTTCCAAGACCCGACCGGACAAAAAGACGTGTTGCAGGCACGAAACATACTAGCAATAGAAATACATTGCATTTAAAATCGTTCTGTGTGACACGAACAAAATGCGAAAATTGTGTTGGGGAACACGATTCAATAGATTAAATTAATTTTGTGACTATAACACGAAATGCCGTGAGACTGGGTTGAATTATACCTCTCTTAAATCACCAGTTAAAGGTGGGGTATGTAATTTATTTCAGAAACACTTTTTGTTATATTCCATGGAATGCTCTTAACATCCCGATAGCAATGAATATATTAAATGCTTTGACAATAAATACATAAAAAAAATGTCGTCTGTGGAAGCCGTAGCGCTGTAAAAAGCACGACCAATCATTTTAGCCGGCCCGGCTAAAAGTCAGAAGGAAGAGGCAGATTTTTTTCGGCTGCGTAGTATCAAATTCTAGAGCACTCGAGCTGGTTTCTCCAAAATTACATACCCCACCTTTAATGTTGGGCTATAAAGGAACTACAGCACGGTCACATGACTTCACGTCACCACCGCTAAGCTAAAGGAGGCTAATGTTGGGCTATAAAGGAACTACAGCACGGTCACATGACTTCACGTCACCACCGCTAAGCTAAAGGTGGCTAATGTTGGGCTATAAAAGAACTACAGCACGGTCACATGACTTCACGTCACCACCGCTAAGCTAATGGTGGCTAATGTTGGGCTATAAAGGAACTACAGCATGGTCACATGACTTCACGTCACCACCGCTAAGCTAAAGGAGGCTAATGTTGGGCTGTAAAGGAACTACAGCACGGTCACATGACTTCACGTCACCACTGCTAAGCTAAAGGAGGCTAATGTTGGGCTATAAAGGAACTACAGCACGGTCACATGACTTCACGTCACCACCGCTAAGCTAAAGGTGGCTAATGTTGGGCTATAAAGGAACTACAGCACGGTCACATGACTTCACGTCACCACTGCTAAGCTAAAGGTGGCTAATGTTGGGCTATAAAGGAACTACAGCACGGTCACATGACTTATTTTTGTGTTGCCTTGTTTGTTGTCAGTCATGTAGCGTCTCGTTGTGGTCGTTTTGTGTTGTATTTCAGCAAAAGTCATGCCCCCTCACCCTCAGGAACCTGGATATGTATCCCTGTATCCAGGCCCCTGGCCAACTTGTGGCCCCACGCAAAGTTATATGATGAGGCCCTCTGTGTCGCGAGCCTCGACAGGGGGGGGGGGGGGGTCTACACTAATTGCGCCGCATTTGCGGGTCAGTTGAGGCTACCTCCGCAACATGAGAACCCCTCCGCGAGATGAGGCCCCACGCGCACACACACACACACACACACACACACACACACACACACACACACACACACACACACACACACACACACACACACACACACACACACACACACACACTGAGCAGAATCCAAATGTGTGTGTGTTGATAATGTCAGTCTGAGGGGAACAAAAACAATCCCAAAAACTGAGTGTGGGTCAGGCGCTTTATATATACAGTGTACGGTCAGGCGTCATGAATAAAACACACGGAAACAGCCTCAGCAAAACATATGATCACAAAATGCACCTCAGGGAGGAAGCTGTGTGAGACTCTGAGATGATTTGTAATGCTGGGTAGATTTGGGAGAAGTACTCAGAGATTGTACTTGAGTTAAAGTAGAAGTACTCAGATCTTGTACTTGTTAGCTAAAACACATTTTGAGCTCTATTTCTATCTCACTGAACAGAGTGAGCTGTATGTGAGCTGGTAAGGCTGCAACAAAGAGGAGGAGCAGCAGACAGGAGGGTGTTAAAGTCCAAGAAAGAAGTCAGACTGCTAGAAGCCATTTTACAGCTGGAAGGAGCAGGAGGACAACAGGGTGAGTGCTAACACCAGGATCTGCTTTAAACACATTCATTATTTACTCTGTTAGACTGATAACATCACTTCTTTGTTAAAAATCAGCTTCCTAGAGTCCAATGAGACTTCTGCAAACTATTTGTATTCCCTGCTTGCTGATCCATCAGAGTTACAGACCATGTGACTGCTGCACTCAAAATGGAGGCCTGTCTGAAGTCTGACTGATTTGATGTTTATAAACCAAGTTTATTACTATGATGGTTTGGATTGAAAAAAAAGCTTGTTATTATAATGTGTGTGTGTGTGTGTGTGTGTGTGTGTGTGTGTGTGTGTGTGTGTGTGTGTGTGTGTGTGTGTGTGTGTGTGTGTGTGTGTGTGTGTGTGTGTGTGTGTGTGTGTGTGTGTGTGTGTGTTACTGGTGTATCTCTCAGACTGGAGAAGATGAGTGGTTTAAAAGATGAGGAAGAGGACAGACCTTCAGTCTCCAGCTGGCTGTCTCTGATGAGTGACCGGTCTAAAGACTGGTTTCAAAAGTTCAGAAGTGAACCTGGATCCTCAGACACAAAGTAAGAGTTTCTGCTGTAAACTGACCTGATATCTTAAAGGTGGGGGTAGGTAAGTTTGAGAAACCGGCTCGAGATACACTTTTTGTTATATTCCATGGAATGCTCTTAACATCCCGATAGCAATGAATATCTGAAGTGCTTTGACAAAAAATCCATAAAGAAATATCATCTGTGGAAGCTGTAGTACTGTAAAAAGCACGACCAATCATCTGAGCCGGCCCGGCTAAAATAACTGGATGGCCTACCTGCCTGTCAGCCTTCCATCTGTGCACAAACTTATCTCGTGCCCTCATTGGTCATGTGCGCGTTCATGTGTGTTGGAGGAGCGGCTCTGTGAGGAAGTGGCAGATTTTCTCCGGTCGTGCATTTTCAAATTCTAGCGATCTCGAGCCGGTTTCTCAAACTTACCTACCCCACCTTTAATAATATTTCAATACACAATTATATTATCATTGTATCTGTGGTATGAAATGGTTTTAAATGGCACAAATATTGATAATTACTAACTAAAAACAAAATATATATTGTCCAAAACATTATTTACTACTTGGGCATGTTTATGATATGTATTATTAAGATGTTTATTAATAATAGTGATAACCTGGTGAGCTGGTTGTGTTTAGCATTATCAGATATAACAGAGTGTTGTGTGATTACATGTAGAGTCAATGCAAAGACCCAGATCTGTGCCTGGCAACACGAAGGAAGTGAATATGTGAAGTTCATGTCACCTGCGTATTCGTGCAGCGTGACACATTTCATCTTGAGTGTAAAGTTTGTGACGCTCTGCCCGTTGGTGAGAATCAGCTCCACTCATGTAAAGTGCTATAAAGGATGTGTTCATCTCCACAGAGGGAAGAGGAGAAGTGCTGCCAGTCAGACCAGAACTGTACGAGGTAAGAGGCCGGACACATGCAGCGTTTCATTCCTCTTCCTGGTTCATTTGTTTTTGATTAGGTATACTGTTGTAGAGCATAGACATTACAACAAGTCCCCCAACTCATACGACCAAATAGGTCGATTGTTCAACAGCTTATTATGACCTATAGTCACGTTTTAAAGTTTAGCACCTCTAGTGGTCGTGTAAGAAACAACAATTTGCGGCATATGGGCTGATGCACCCGTTGACTGCAAACGCTCCGGAGGGTCGTTATTCACAAATAACCCTCTCTGGAAAATCCTAAATTGTAGGATAGTTTGGCCATTAAAATGCTTTTTGATGACATTCCTAGCGAGAAGTGTATATTGTACTTTTACAATCTACGTCCAGTGGATGTGTGGGATCTATAGTTTGATAGAACGTGTATATACTACGTCTTTCCCCTATTCATTTCTATTGACCGCAGCGTCCATGTAAAGTTGGCATCAACCCTCACGGGGGGAAAATAGTATTTCAGGTCTCGAAGTTTTCATAATAAAACCGTATTCCCCTCACAGTCAAATGATTTTACAGTAGTATCTGCAGTACTCATCCACTAAAAAACATCAGTTTATCCTTGTTAATTACACAACATTCATTGGTTTAGATTGTGTACACTGCTTCCCATAGGTTTTTCCCTTTTCGTTTCTGAGAGACACATTTCTTTTTTCAGAGATTTTGATAAAACATCAAACTACCCATAATCCTCAGCTATCGTTGAAGCTCTGTGATTGGATGTTTTAGCCGCAATGCACGTTGGGATATGGTGTTTATGCGATATGAAATCTGAAAACATTATAAAAAAAGAAAATAATACTTTATTCCGAGTGTGCTTGCTTTTCTCTTTGGAAGTCATCACATAACTGCATTGTAATACACGGTTCGGCTGCATTAAATATGACATATCTGCCGTAGTTCTTTATTTATAGAGTCCTGATTAGAAGACCTTTGGACAAACTGGAAGAACTGCCACCGAAACTGAATACGTGACGTGGATCATAAATATATCAGCAATTAAACAACATCTTCAATTTCTCTTCACACAATACGTCTCCTTGCAGTATCAACATTAATTCGGCTGACTTTTATATTTGATCCAATTGGTAGATAGGTTATATTTACACCATAAATACGTTATACACCATAACGGTGCACAGCTGATAGAAAAGGACTTGTCGTTTTTAAAGATATTACTGATTTTCTTTGAATATAAGAATGTAAATACTGAGTTGAGAGAATAGTCAGGGGATTTGGGTGATGGGAGACACATCTATGGAATCACAATTTCAATAGCTTACCATCAAATGACGGATATACCTTTATGTCTATGATGTTTTACAAATCAGATATTAATGTATAGAACAATATGTGAAATAATATAGCAATATCCTGTAAAATTATGTGAAAAAATTAATAAAACTACACATCTTCAGATGTTATACATACATAAGTGTCCTACACTAATAATACAAAGTTATTATGGCATTGTATGCTGTGTGTTATTTGTATTATAATTTATTGTTTTAACACTGTAAACTTGACCGTTTTTTAACCCTAGTGGTTAAAGCATGTTATTGAAATCTTTAGTAGAATATGTTATATTTGATGAGAACATTCAAATCTTAAGAGTAGCCTACATACAAAATAGGGGTCAATGATAGAACTAGAAAATGCATTTCCTGCAGAAAATGCGTGCGAATGCTGTAAACTGTGAACATTTGTGGCTGAATTTAGCTGAAAAAGCTGAATATGTTATTAGCTGAATGGTAGCTGCTTTTAGCTACAAAAATGCAGAAAACGGTAGTAGAGTACAGAGCTTCGTGACCGCGGAGCGTGTGAACGTTGTGATCAGCTGTTTTAGCGCAGGGCTGCTGTACAGACCGACGTTAACAGCAGCCCTGTCTGTGCACACGGAGACCGACTCTGTCGTCCGGTGAACTAACCGCGTTCTGGAAAAGCTTCACATTTACGTCGGTACGCAAATGCGCTTTGTGACACCAGTGACGGTACGCATTTCAGATTGTTGCCGCGCATGCGTACCTGCGTACCAGTTATGTGCACCCCTGATAATAACAAACCATTACCATGCTGTCATGAACGTGCGGTGCTGTTACGTGCACGCAAATTGACGTGCTTGATGTGAACGAGCATTTTGGGGGGCATGGTTAAAGTTGCGCATGCGCTATGAGCGCACATACGGGTACTTCTCAGGCATGCCGGGTAATCTGTGACGTTTCGCTCTCTCAAAAGTTGGGCCATTTTATCATCATGCGCGAATGAGCAACTCTCATAGGAATGAATGAGGCCCTGCCTCCCACGCTGTATCCAGTTCTTATTATACATCCATGCATAATACGCTTAAATGTGTTGATGGCTGCATCGTTACCAAACCTGTGAAGTTTTGGGCCATTTCAAGCATTTTCACTGAAGTTATGAGAAAACCGTGTTTCATGGTGAGCATTGTGTTGCCATGGCAACGGCATTTGAATAAATCTCAAAACTGTCCCGTAGATGTCTTCACGGCTGGACTGTTAGCACACATGTGAAGTTTGAGCACTTTTTGAACATTTTCATAGGTGTTATACATTACATTAGGAGGTTACATTACTCTCTCTCTTCTCTTGATCGCCCTCTCTCTCTTCTCTTGATCACCCTCTCAATCTTCTATCGCCCTCTCTCTCTTCTCTTGATCGCCCTCTCTCTTCTCTTGATCGCCCTCTCTCTCTCCTCTTGATCGCCCTCTCTCTCTCTTCTCTTGATCGCCCTCTCTCTCTTCTCTTGATCACCCTCTCACTCTTCTATCACCCTCTCTCTCTTCTCTTGATCGCCCTCTCTCTCTCCTCTTGATCGCCCTCTCTCTCTTCTCTTGATCGCCCTCTCTCTCTTCTCTTGATCACCCTCTCACTCTTCTATCACCCTCTCTCTCTCCTCTTGATCGCCCTCTCTCTCTTCTCTTGATCGCCCTCTCTCTCTCCTCTTGATCGCCCTCTCCCTCTCCTCTTGATCGCCCTCTCTCTCTCCTCTTGATCGCCCACTCTCTCTCCTCTTGATCGCCCTCTCTCTCTCCTCTTGATCGCCCTCTTTCTCTCCTCTTGATCGCCCTCTCTCTCTTCTCTTGATCACCCTATCACTCTTCTATCACCCTCTCTCACTTCTCTTGATCGCCCTCTCTTCTCTTGATGTGTCTGTGAGAGAGAGGGAGAGTGTGTGTCTGTCTGTCTGTGAGAGAGAGAGAGAGAGAGAGAGAGAGAGTGAGTGTGAGTGTGAGTGTGAGAGAGAGAGAGAGAGAGTGTGTGTCTGTCTGTCTGTCTGTCTGTCTGTGAGAGAGAGAGAGAGAGAGAGAGAGAGAGAGAGAGAGAGAGTCTGTCTGTCTGTCTGTCTGTCTGTCTGTGAGAGAGAGAGAGAGAATTGTTACAGCTCAAATGCATTGCAATGACTTCCATGTTAAAAAAAAGACTTTAAAAAGCTGAATGTTTTAAAAAGTATAACATATTTTGAAAAAGTTGAAAGTTTCCCATCATGTGCTGAAAAGGGTGAATCGTTTGATATTTGAATGGTTCCTGCAGCTGAAATTAGGCTCAAGGAGTTAAATAAAGATATTAAATGTAAGTAGTAGTGAATGAATGTTTACAAACACCTATGTGTGTAAACCCAGAGATGAAAGGTTACCATGGTGACGACTTATGACGATTTCCCAACTGCAGCACTGAGTCCCTTTAAGAATGCATTGAGGATTATATCTGACAATTTTGCCACCTGTTCAAAAACTATGGCTCCTATCAAAAAATGACCAGACCGTGAGCATCAGGGAACCCCAATGAACTGATATATGTTGTTTTTTTTGGTTTTGTGTGTAAAATGTGGAGATGCGAGCAGTTTGTCTAAGTGTATTTCTCTCTGTTCTGAAGAAAGTTCCAGAAAGATTTAACATGGGAATCAATTGGGAGCTAGGTGGACTTTTTGTCTCTTCATGCCCTCAAGAGGCATTTTGATTAATATTTCTTCTTAATTTTTTTAAATTTTCCAACCTAGGAGAGGTTTTCCTACGTTTTTCATGAAAAAATATGTCTGAGGAGTGTAGGGTTTGGGAAATATGGCAAGTTTAAAACATTTTTTGGGGAGCACTGCTGCACTCTGTTTTGAGATCAAAGCACTCTAGACTTAACGAGCTGCTCCATCCACACTAATGTTAAAATCTGAAAAAGGCCTCTCTACCAAGCTCCAAACTAAGTTAAATATCTCAAGAAGTGTAAAAGATATGAAGAATCTGAATAAGAAGTTTTATTGCTGAAGGTGTTGTGATCATTTGAAAGTTGGAATGAAGTGTCTAGCTGAAATTATGTGGAAGGAGAAGCATTTGGCGCAAAGTGTAGGAAAAGAGGATTTGAAGGCATCTCCCATTGACTTCAATGTTAAAAAAGAGTTTAAAAAGATGAATATTTCAAAAAGTATAACATATTTTTAAACAGTTGAAGGTTTCCCATCGATTCCTGAACAGGCTGAATAGTTTGATATTTGAATGGTTTCTGTAGCTGAAAGTAAGCTGAAGTTATGGAGAGCCAAAGTATGGTTGAAATAATAATAATAACTAGAAAATGCATTTCCTGCAGAAAATGCGTGCGAATGCTGTAAACTGTGAACATTTGTGGCTGAATTTAGCTGAAAAAGCTGAATATGTTATTAGCTGAATGGTAGCTGCTTTTAGCTACAAAAATGCAGAAAAAGCTTAATATTTAAAAGAAAAGGTTTAAAAAAACATGTATAGCCTTGATGTAATGAAATAGCTGAATAATGTAATAGTTGAATGGTTTCTGCAGCTGAAAATAGGCTGAAGGAGTTAAATACCAGATGTAAGTAGTAATGAATGAATTTGCATTAAGATGAGAAAAGAAAGTAAAAAGGCTTGGGAAAGCAGCAGAATATTTGAACTGCAAACTTTTGAACTAACTTGATGGTGAATTATCTGTCGCCATGGCA